ATATAAGTATCAAATAAAAAATAGCAGTGGCAACCAAGGAGTTTTATTTTTCTTCCCTTTTTTTCTCCCACAGGAAACATGAAAGAGCTGGGTGATGATGTTAAATCGCAGCTTTACAACTTACTTGAAGTACCTGATCTGAACAAGAATTGGTCCATGTTAGCACAAAAGCTGGGCCTAGGGATACTGAACAATGCCTTCCGGCTGAGTCCTTCTCCTTCAAAAACTCTCCTAGATAATTATGAGGTAATACATCTTGACCAGGTGAAGTCTTACTATTTTATTGTATTGCTTTTATCTTGTGAGTTGAACCTTGAGATGGATACAAAATAAACTATTGAAACAGTTTAAACCAGGCATGGCCAAACTTTGCCCCTACAGGTGTTTTGGACTTCAACTCCCACAATTCCTAACAGCTACCACCTTGGAGGGCCAAAGTTTGCCCATGGTTTAAATAAACGTGTGTGGTTTAAATAAATGTGTGTGTGTGTGTGGGGGGGGGGGGGGGGGGGGGGGGGGGGGGTTGCTGTAATTTGCTAAGTATTGCCAGACTTCTCTCCTATGACCAGTTAAGGATGTAGTACTTTCCACTCAGCCTCAGTGTGGCTGTCTCTTTCCTTTCATATAGATGCATATTTATAAGAATAAATGTGGGTGAATCAAACGCATTTTTGGATAGATATATATATTTATATTACTTATGCAGTTTTTATATAGCAGTTCCCAGGTTACAAACACAATATGGTAGATTCTGAGTGTTTCTTCTTAAGTTGCATGTGTATATAAATCAGAATAGGTGCATTTTTCAATGTTAATTCCAGCCTATCTATCTATCTATTCTAAGTTCTGAAGGTTTGTTCTTAAGTTGAATTTGTATGTAAGTCAGAATAGGTACATTTTTCAGTGTAACTTCTCTGTATGTATGTATGTATGTATGTATGTTTTGGATAACAGAAGAGTCCACCTCACTTTGTCTCTGTAACAATTAGATGGCCAAAATTTGGCTTATCATGGAAACAAAAAATGGTGTCAAGGCTTCAGTGGAGACACCTTTTCCCCATGATAACTCTCACATAATTTAATTTCCCTTCCTCTCACTTCCTGTTGTCTTGCCTCAATTTATAACTAGGAGTCATATGTGAATTGGATGTTTATAACTCAGGGACTGCCTATATGCAAACTTACATATATACCACATATACTCGAGTATAAGCTGGGTTTTTCAGGCATTTTTAAGGCCGAAAAAGCCCCCCTCAGCTTATAATTGAGTTAATGCTATTTATTATTTTATTCTGTTGTTGTTGTTGTTTTCTCTATTTTATTATTATTATTATTATTATTACTTTTACTTTATTCTACTTTATTATTTTATTACATTTATTATTTTAACCTATTATTATTACATGTATTATTTTACTCTATTATTATTACATGTATTATTTTACTCTATTTATTGTTATTATTACACTTATTATTTTATTCCATTATTCCTGTTATTATTACATTTTCATTATTTTACTGTATTATTATTTTTATTACATTTATTACTGTACTCCCTATTATTATTGGAAGGATATGTAAGCACATTTTCATTGAAGGTTAGAATAATGGTTTAATCAGAGTTGGACAGTATTATCTTAAATTACAGTGTTATGTAAATATTCAAAAACATTTGATGTACTGATGCCTCAATTAATCTAATTTTATTGGTATCTGTTTTAATTTTCAAATGTACCAGTAGCTTGCTGCATTTCCCACCCTCAGCTTATACTCAAGTCAATATGATTTCCCAGTTTGTTTGTTTTTGTTTTTTTTTTGGGGGGGGGGGTAATTAGATGCCTTGGCTTATATTCAGGTCGGCTTATACTCGAGTATATACAGTATATACACACACACTTGCTGATAGTTAAGAGGTGTTTATTTGCTACTCTTTGGTATGACAATTACAAAGAAATGTGCTGTTTTCTGTCACCACATGTGCTAAGGAATGGTCAACCTCTATAAAAATAGATGCTCCCCTTTATTATGAAGACTGCTTCAAGGGCCTTACCTTCATCTCTACTTCTCCGTGTAGGTTTCTGGTGGAACAGTAAAAGAGCTTGTTGATGCTTTGAGAGAAATGGATTATCCAGAGGCCATTGAAGTAATTCAGAAATCCTTGCCTGTTTCATTGAGCCATTCCAACCAAGAGAATGCAAAAGATGCCAGACCTTCCCTGAGTGAATCACCTTCCTCTCCCTTGACATCTCAATCAGGTTGTTTCCTTTTGGCAGAGTGATAAGGGGGTTTAGGGTGTTTGATGTAGATGTGAAAGACCCAGATGCAAATCCCTTGCTTTGCAGCAGATCCCACTGGGAACACCTGGCTTACCCTAACATACTGTTCTGAACTTCTTGAGGAAAGGGCAGGATTAAAGTATCCATAAAATTATGATACTAGACAAATACCTAAATTGGGACATTCTGTTCTCTCAGTCCTTACGATTACAAAGTATATTCATTCCTCAGTACTTAAAAGATATGAAAAGTATGAAAGAAGCTGATACCTGCAATGTTATTGTGGGGCAAGTTGGAAGAAGCATTTATGACAGGACCCAAGGGGTCTCTCCTGCCAGCTGTTCTTGATCCAACTCACATCGTTTCCCAGTGCCCCCATCTGCAGTACCTTGAAAATCTTTCAAATGGGGCAGTGAGAGACTAAAAAGTTGGAGGGGGGCGGGTGATGGTGTCTCCAAATTTAACAAAAATGTAGTTATGTCTGATAATGTAGGATCTTGGCCAACTTTTTTTTATTTGTAGTTAAACTGTATTTCTAAGAGCACTAATTAGGATGTAAATTTTATTGGAACACAGTGAGATTCGCTTCTGAACAAAGATGCTAAGGATTTATGTTACTATACAGGATGGAGCATAAAAATCTCTCACATTTTGAAGGAGTATAAATAATGAATGAAGCTATCTAGAAATTTTGTATATATATTTCTGAAAAGTACATAAAAACAGTTTTGTTTCAATGGGTTTTTAAAATCGTATCAGACAAAATCATTTTGTAAGGATGCAGTATTAAGTCGGCATGCGGAATCATCCTCAACTCCGACTGGAATGCTTATGGCAGTTGCTGAATGGATGCTCTTATCGCTTCCACATTTTCTGGAGTTCTAGGTTCTAGGTCTGCCAGAGAATTTCTTTTCAGTGTTGATCCAGTTGCCCAAAGAGTAGAAATCCATAAAAAATCATTTTCTGATTGGGTACCGATATATTTTGACCAAGTGTAAAGTGTGTACCAAACACTCTTCGTGTCATTATCACAGAACAGTTGTTCTCATAATATGCTTAAACAACAAAGCTCTGATGTTCTAACTCATGATGGGTACCGAACATGGCAAAGCTTAAACTACCTAATTAGATCTACGCCCACACAGTGCTCCCTATTATTATTATTACTATTATTATTATTATATTCTTATATCCTGCCTCCATCTCCCCAAAGGGACTCGGAATGGCTTCCATGGGGAGCTAGCCCCATATAAACAAAGGTTGCAGAGTAATTAAAAGCAAATAGCAATAAAATCTATTAATTAAACAATAAAACCAATAAAATGTAAGACATCATAAAACACAAACCAAACATCTAAACAACCAGTAGCTGAGAGAAGTAGGCATGTGCAGATTTGAGACTAAATAGGGCACAACAAGGGCTTGTACAACCCAAACTGTAAAGCCAGGGCTGAGAATAAAGAGTTGGAGATCCAACCAGAAAATTAGGGCTAGGCAGACTTAATCAGTAGTTAACCATTATTCAAAAGTGCATTGGAGCATCAAAGTTTTCAAGTCTTTCCGGAAGGTGGACAGACTGGGGGCTAAATCTAATCTCCCTGGGGAGAGATTGCCAGAACCGGGGAGCCACCACCAAGAAGGCCCTCTCTCTCATCCCCTTATATTATTATGATTTACTGCATTTCCATGCCAGCTTTCTCAGCCCGAAGGCGACCTTAGAACCCGTGACGGTTTGCAGAGGGAGATATGGTCACGAAGATAAGCAGGACCCTAGAAATATGGGAGATCTTTATGCCCCACCCTATAACACAAAACCTAAGTCCATAGTCTCAGCAACCAAGGAGAATTCTTGAGAGCATATGGATATGACTTGTATCCCCCATGAAGCTGCCCTGAGCCCCTTCAAGGAGAAAGGGTGGGTTATAAATAAAGCTTTATTATAATAATTCCTAAATTTCCACTGTTCTAAGGCAGAGGTATGTACTCTGTGGTCAAGAGAGTGTGAAGGCGTTCCTTAAGTAAACAGGTTGCTTCTTTTTAAATATTGAAATAATGTCTACTTCCTCCCCATCCTCCCAGGTGACCTCTCTCATCTCAGACTTCAGGACACAGAAAGCATCTGTGACAGTGGTGTAGAGATCTCCCTCCGCAAACTGAGCTTTACATGTTCGGATTCTTTCACCAGCAAGTCACCAGTAACACTTAAGAAACTGGCCACAGGATATGGACCGGATAATGTGCTGCAAAGCAAAATTGAAGCCACCTAAGACTATGACAAGTTCTTGGTAAAGAACAGGAGTTCATGATCCAAACAAAGTGTGCACTAGAAGAAAAAGCTCTTTGAAGAGCACATCCACAGGACCATTATTCAGTCATCACGAGTTGGATCCCAATAAAGAGGGAAGATTCAAGAATGGATCAAATGAACTTTGCCCTTAAGATAAAGATCTTGCGAAAAAGAAATCAACTACTTTCATGATATTCAGTGAAAGTTTAGAAGGGACACTGACTGTGGGACAAAGCTGTGAAGCATCATAACCAAATCAACAACAGTGACCAGGAAAAATACTTCAGCCAAAAATAATAATAATGTATATTTCAGTAACTGTATTTAAAACCAGTGTCTATAAAGTAATTCAGGCTTCAGAGTGTGTCCTCATACAGTTTCACCACATTTGCACTGTAAATATTTCAGTTTTGATATATTGCTCTGGAGAAAAAAAGTGCCTTTTCAATGCTTGCTTTTTTATTTTACTTTTATAATAAAATACAAAATGGAGATGATTTCCAGTGTTTCTTTTTTCTTTTCTGAAACATATGTGACATCAAAACTTTCCAATAATTGCTCCCATTAGAATGTAACAAATATCGTTCTAAAGACAAAAGTAAACCAACAACACCATGAGGTATTTCCCCTTTGCCAGGACACCTGAGAAAAACAAAAGGACAAGCTACATTCTTGCATAATTTTTTTCAGATCACAACTAAAAATGATAGAGGTTATTTGCAGTATCGCTTTTCTAAAAGGATATAATTTGAAATAATGAGAAACAAACCTATTTCTGTTTGTGAGTCAAAGTCCAACTAGGCTAAGCATTTCGCGCCTTTTGGCTGACGTGCTTCAAGTAGTGGAAGATACCTTGATGATTTTCCTCATCAAGAGGCCCTTCATTTAGCATGCATGTTGTGTTTGGTCATTTAATAGACATTCATCATTGGCAGTAATGTATGCCTGACATATTTCATGGTAATTATACTAATTCACTTTTAGAGTTGTTGCATGATCCCAAAAATAAAAAAGTGTTCCCCAAAACCTGCCTTTTCAGCCATGTGGCCCTGCCCCTCCCCAAAAAAAGAAAATGTTAAGGTGCTGAAGAGCAGACTGCTGATGGGTTAATCATTGGAGGATGTAGCTACAGAAACATGGCTATATCATCATAGCTCTGTCTCCTGATGCAGGATCTCGGCCACAGGGCTTACATTTGCAAGTGTTACTGCTATGGCAGATGTCTCTGGAAAAAACCCATTTTAGAAAAAGGGAAAGGGGTTAATCTTTCTAAGGATACAGATTCCATTGGATAGCTACCTTGGCCTTCAGCTAGGCACTGTTTTAGATTGGCAAGGAAACCACAGGCAGGATTGTACACATTTTTGGGACCTTAAGGCATTGTTTAAAAGGGGAGAGAGAGATGGAAGTGGGCCAGTAAGAGGAGATACTCCCAATGTCATATTTCCCTCTCTTTCCCCAGTCTTTCAATATCTATCTTCTAAACCAATTGTTCCCAATCTGTGGTCTGTGGACCACCAGTGGTCCACAAGAACTAAAATATGGTCCCAGTCCTCACCGTTAATACACTGTTGCAACAAGAGCAACTGGTCTCATGAGACCCTCTTATGGTGCCAAGGCAATGGAGATGTTGACAGGCGAGAGAGTGACTACCCACGAAAGGCACGACAACAAGCCTCCTGACTCCTGTTTCTCCTCCTCCTCCCTCCCCCTGAGCGGAGCCGTTCCATGTGGTGCCTAGAAGCAGAAGCACCTTGGTGTTATCGTTTTTAGGCCTGTTCCAGGGGTTATTTGGGGTACTGATTCAGAAAATTTCATTGGATAGACCACATCAGCTCTAGATGATTAAATATGGTTTTCTGTGGCCAAGCAGGTGGCAACTATTGGATGGCATATGTTATGTATCAACCACTAGAGCCAATGTGGTCTTTCCAATGCAATTTTCTGAATCAGCACCCCAAATAACCAAATTGAATCAAAAGTTGACCAACAACTAATTCATAAACCTTTTGGTACTAATGTTGGAGAGTGGTCCCTGGTCAAAAAACCGTTGGGAACTACTGTTCTAAACAATGTTTTAACATGCCAGATTTAGAAGGTAACTTGACTCTGATTTGAAAGCTTTTCTTTTAATGATTTTGTTGACTTATTAAAAAGCAACACACTCTTTTTTATAACTATCACCACTTGAATGCTGAGCACTTTCTTGTCCTCTTTTGATGCATACACACCAGGCCCAATCTATAAAGTATTACATGTACCTGGAGTTCTGTAACCCTTATACAATTTTTCTGTGTTACGAATTTCACTACTCCACACAGGCAGAAGGGGCGGTGTTCCAAATATAAGGCAGGTCTCTTAATTAAATCTACATCCACGGTTGAAATTCCCAGATGCAGCCAAACTGTGCCTCCCTCTATGGACTTTTGAAAACGCATTAAGGTTGGGGAGCTCAAAAAGTAAGCGGGGAGAGCTGCTCCCCTTTTGCTGCCCTGTAATTTGGACACTGCCTGTGTGTGCATTAATTCAAACTCCTGGTTTGTTTCAGCAGCAGTATAGCCATCAAAAATATGCATTTTGGTTCTGGCATGTTGAAAAATGGAAACAATAGATCCCCAAAGCTCTCGATATGCTTCATTTCACTGTTCTCATAAAGCTCTCTTAGCATACGCGTTCATCTGATGCAAAAACAGACTCACTTTAAAGATGTATAGATCTATTCCTGGCTTCATCTCACTGAAGAGAGGGATCCCACGTGGGCAAGGTGCTGCCTTAAGAACAATGCTTAATGGTCCTGTTTCATGCATCTATTGATGCTGAATTAGATTCCTGCAAAAGCTTCCTGTTTCTAATGGTCTTCCTTTCTGCTGCTGCAAAGGTTCCTCAGGAAATGTCTGTCAGTGATGTTAAGCTGAGTGACTTTTCCAGCTCCTTGGCACTAATGGTCTCCCAGGGATAAAACAATATGACTTTTTGCTTCTCTGTGAGAAGGAAACCGTTGTCGCTGAATCGCCCTCGGATGTTCCCGGCATCCAACCAAACAAAGGGAGCAATTGCTGTTGCCTCGAGGAGAAGATGGAAGTGATCTCCTTCTTGGGAAATGGAAACCTGCAAGAGGGCAAAATCGTCATTATTGAATGTATTGCCATTTCTGCTACTTATGCATAATTGTTATGGAATTTATTATATTATGTATAATATGTATTTTATTATGTATTCATTCTTATAAAAGGGATCTATCAGTATACTACAGTCATTAGTATCTGCTAGGGCAAGAATGGGCAAAGTTCAACCCTCTAGGTGTTTTGGACTCCAACTCCCACAATTCCTAACAGCCTCAGGCCCTTTCCTTAATTAAAATTAATACATATTAAAATGTAAAAATTACATACAATATTAAAATCACACCACCTAAAAATCATAGTCTGTGGCCATTCCATAGTCATTGTACATATTCCAATTATAATATATTGTTGAACTGCTTCTCCGATGGCCTGGTTCCACAGGCAGATTTTTACTCTATAGCAGTGGTTCTTAACCTGTGGGTCCCCAGGTGTTTTGGCCTTCAACTCCCAGAAATCCTAACAGTTGGTAAACTAGCTGGGATTTCTGGGAGCTGTAGGCCAAAACACTGGGGACCCACAGGTTGAGAACCACTGTTCTAAAGGCTAAGAGGGAGGGGGCTGATCTAATGTCCAAGAAAACTTCAGGTCTCTTGTAAAATGGGCCTCTGTTCCAACTTCTGCACCAGTTGCGCCTGTACCTTGGGAAGTCAGACTAGGCTACGGTGGTCCACACTCTCATTACATCCCATATAGATTACTGCAACATGCTCTACATGGGGTTGCCTTTTAAGACTGTTTGCAAGCTCCAATTGGTCCAATGGGCGGTAACCAGATTTCTCACTGGAGCAGCGTACAGGGAGCATACAACACCCCCCCCCCCCCCCCCCCCCCGTTATGTCAGCTCCACTGGCTGCCACTTTGCTACCAAGAACAATTCAAAGTGCTGGCTTTAGCCTGCAAAGTCCTAAACAATCTGGCCCAGTTTACCTGTCCAAGCATATTTCCCCCTATGAACCACCTCCAAGATTAAGATCTTCTGGGGAGGCTATACTCTCGGTCCCACCTTCTTCACAAGTGCGACTGGTGGGGACACTCTACAGGGCCTTCTCAGTGGTGGCCTTTCAGCTGCGGAACTCCCTGCCTAGTGACTTTAGATCAGCCCGCTCCCTCCTAGCCTTTAAAAGGAGAGTAAAAACCTGCCTCTGGGAACAGGCCTTCGGAGAAGCAGTGCAACAATATGTTACAATTGGAATATGTGAGAAAGGGCCTTCTCAGTGGTGGCCCCTCCCCCCACCCCCAAACCTTCAGGAAAATCCTAAAGACGTGGATATGGGACCAAGTGTTCAGTCAGTAATCTACCAGTGCAATAAAAGAACATGAAATAGTGCAATGACAATCTGGAACAGCCACAGACTATGATATTGGATTGCATGATTTTAAATAAGTGGTTTAATGTTTGATATGTTTTTAATGATAGTTTTAATGTTTTAATTATATAATTAATGGCATAGAATTACTGCCTGTATATGTAAGGCGCCCTGAATCCCCTGCAGGGTAAATATGGTAAATAAAATAAAATAAAATGTAGCACTGGACAACTTTTCAAATAATATACAATGTATACACTTACTTCTACTAATAAGGGCAAGAGGCAAGAACCTTTAGCTAGAGAGATGACAAAAGGGAATTTCCCTAAGGAACAAAAAATTGATTTACAAAAGAAAAGCAAAATCACAGCTAATTTTTGTGCCCAGTACCAATCCTGAGTATTTCACACTAATTAGAGAAGAAGAAAAACATACTGCTGCATACATGAAACTGTGGACTCTTTAATCCTACTGCATCCTTCGGGGAGGACAAAAAGTAGTGATTTCTTGGACTGCAGAGCTGGTCTCGGCCCTCAAGGGAAAAGGTGACAACGCAGCTTTTCCTGGTACAATTTCCACATCTTTTCAGAAGCTCATTGATTGGCTCTTTATAGATGGGCACAGCACTCCTGGCCTTAACAACCACACCTTCTTTAGCCAAGGTACATATGGGCTCCATCCCACTCCAATCATACAGAATGATCTGTTGGGCACATTAAGGGATCAAGGCAGCAAAACAGATTATGAATGCCTGCTTTCAAGTAATGAAACTCATACGGTCAACTCTATTAACACATGTTTACTTTTTTCCTGTTAAAATCAGTGGCATTTCAAACACACTAAACCTCAGCAGGATCATGGCCACTGTTCTTAAAATTCACCAGACGCATTATAAAACCTCCCATATGAGACTATAGGTATCTAAGACAAGGGGGACCATTTGTTTAATATTACTGTTGGCTTAGGATGAATGGTGGAGCCAAGATTCTGCTGCAAAAATGGAAGCTGGCTTCTGATCTCTTTTGTTCCTGGATTTTGATTTTTAATCAAACATTTTTTGGTCTTCTTTCACTTTTTCAACGAGGGAGGCTTTAGCGGTATTAGCTTGGTAGTGGCAACAAAGATTGGGCCACTGCCATTCTTCTTTGCCAGGGAAGAAAGGGAAGAAAATGGCAGCCAGGGATTCTGTTGCTATGATACAAGTTTTTCAAAGGATTTTTAAAAAAGCAGCAGGGATGACTGTACAGGAGGCAAGAAGCTTCCATACACTCACCTCCCAGCTAAATCAATAGTGACCAGTAGTTATGTGTGTGGTATTTGTTTCTTGTTTCATTTGTTGTTTCGTTCCTTTTGTTTTGTTCCTTTTGCAAAAAACGGTAACACTCTCTACTGTATGGAAATAGACCTGAAACCTTACAATCTATTTGGCCTTATTTTTGTCTCCTCTGCAGATCGAGAAGAAAACATCTCAGAATCAGTGGTATCTCAAGCCCTGACTTTAGCCTAAGGGTTCCTCTTCTGATTGAGAGGAAAGGAAAGGGAATGTTTCTAAGATTTTATTTATAAGAAGAAGAAATCCCTACAAATCGGGGGATAGCCTAAAACTCAGTGGACTAAGAGTGGTCAATGTGCCCTCCATGAGTAGTGATTTTCACCTCTCTAGTCCTAAAACTGAGAGGAAGGGCAGCCTGGGAAGGCCACCCATGTTGGCCAATGGTCCAAGCACTTTTGTTCTTTTGGACCCTAATGAAAAAGCTCATTCGGAAAGGCTCTGGTTTTTGGGAGAGGCGCTTGGAAACTAAAACAAGGCTTTACGAATGAAACAAACTGAAAGGGATAGCTATTTCCAAGACTAGCGGCCAGTGGATGAAGGAATGGAATTCCAAAAAAATAGGTGATGAGCCACACCCTCTCGGTTCATTCCACAAGTCAGCCCAACTGGACAACTAACTTACTTTGCTGCCCTTTCCAAGTTCATTCCAACCACGAAGCACTTACTCTGAGGGTCACCTTGTGATCCGAGTGAAGATCCGAGACACCATATATGTAGAGGACTTCTTCATCTTCCTGTGCCACAGGCAATAAAGGGGCGAAGAAATGCTGGGCAAAATAATGGAGCATTTTCCACTTGCCGCCATATTCTGAGGTTTCCAAAAGGGAAAAATGTTAACCTAGCTTGCCTTATTTCTTTTCCAGAGTCAAAGGAAAATCAAGGGATGGTTTAAGACAGGCATGAGAAAATTTCGGCCCTCCAGGCATTTTGGACTCCAACTTCCACAATTCCTAACAGCCGGTAGGCTGTTAGGAATTGTGGGAGTTGGAGTACAAAACACCTGGAGGGCTGAAGTTTGCCCATGCCTGGTTTAACATTATTGTAACAAAAAGAACCAATTGCAGGAATGGGTCCCAATCTGGACTTCTGGACTTTCCCTAACCCTAACAGCCATACCTGCTCTGTAGGGCACTCTTGTTAAGTGGTTTCCAAGTTTTTGTACACTTCCCCTCCTCTTTCCCACTAAGAAATGACTATCCTAAGGCTTTGTTATTGGGAGTAAGAACTTTAAACCTGAATACGCTAGAGGTTTTGTTCCCCACCATTTCCCTTTGTTCCTGCTCATCATTTAAAAACACTCTTCAGAAACTTCTCTTAAATCATATTTGGCTCTTGGGATAAAAGAGAGGTCACACTTTTGCCTTATCGAGGTGATATCACACACTATCCAAATATAAGATGTTGTAGGTGTATGTTAAGAGGTCTCACAATGGAAATGTGCTACACAGAGACATCTGTATATACAGTAGAGGCTCATTTATCCAACATTCTGTATTATCCAACGCAGTCCGCCTCCTGCCCAGACCCACAGCTGTTTCAATACATTGCGATGTTTCGGTGCTAAGTTTGTAAATATAGTAATTACTACATAACGTTACCATATATGGAACTGCTTTTTCTGTCGATTTGTTGTAAAACATGATGTTTTGGTGCTTAATTTGTAAAATAATAACGTAATTTGATGTTTAATAGGCTTTTCCTTAATCCCTCCACATTATCCAACTTTTTTGCTTATCCAACGTTCTGCCGGCCTGTTTATGTTGGATATACAAGACTCTACTGTACATTCAACTGATGTTATAATTTCTCTCGAAGGCAGATGGCAGGATTGCTGAAACCGAAGCTGTGAAAGTGCTGTAATTCAAGCCATGGTGTTTCAGAAGAAGAGATAGTGTATTGGAACAGTGATAAAGAAATCAGATTCCTGATTTTTAAGAAAGCCATGAAGCTCTTCTCACTAAAGAACAGCGTTACAACATCCATCTTTCTCCGCTGTGGGACCAGCATTAAATTATTCAGACCACACATGAAGGCATTACTTACTTCTGTCCATAACATAATCATCTGTCCAAGAGTTATTATTATTTCTAATAGCTGCTGGTTTCAGTTCAGTAAATGATGTGAGAGATAGGTGTGATGTGAGCAAAAGAATAATATCTTGCAATATAATGAGCAGTCTATATCAGTTAAAAGGAGCCCCCAGTGGTGCAGTGGGTTAAACTGCTGAGCTGCTGAACTTGCTGACTGAAAGGTTTGAATCCAGGGAGCGGGATGAGCTCCCGCTGTTAGGCCCAGCTTCTGCCAACCTAGCAGTTTGAAAACATGCAAATGTGAGTAGATCAACAGATACCACTATGACGGGAAGGTAACAGCACTGCATGGAGTCATGCTGGCCACATGACCTCGGAGGTGTCAACGGATGAGCACCAAGCCCCAGAGTCAGACACAACTGGACTTAATGTCAGGGGAAAATCTTTACTTTTACTAAATCAGTTATGTCAAGGTGACATTATGTGTAGAGGGGGTGGTTTTTATAAAAACCTGACTGCCATGTGCAGTTCTTCCCTCAAAATAAATTATGAACAGTGAATACAAGTCACTGATTCAAAAACTGCTGCCTAAAACATCAGTGGGAATTACAAAGCAAGCAGTGAGAGGGAACAGGCAGCAAGTCCACCAGATTAGCGAAAACTCCCAGCCATTTGGTTTCTTTCCCCCTAATCTGTTCTCTGTGCTAGCAATCTCGTTGGGCCATAATACATCTTGCAACAACTTGCATTTGCTTATTTTACTGTTTCCTTGTTCTTCTCCCTTCCTTTTTTCTTTTTATATTATTTTTCTATTAGATTCTAAACCAAAACTGTGACCGTGGAAGCAAGACTTGAGTATGTTGGCACCAAGGGGGCACATGTGAGTCAGCGCCTCTTTATTAAGCAGGCGATTCCAAGCCATGAAACCTCTTTCAGTAGAAGCCAGGTTGGCCTCTTCTGTGTTATTCTCTTCCTGGCAGAGGAAGACATTTTGGTGGATTTTTGTTGTGAAGATAAAATAACAGAAGGTTACATTAAGATAGTTGAAATGAAGACAGGATAGGCATAAAATAAAAATAAATGCACATGCACAGACATTGAGAAAGTAGGTGTTTCAAGGAAGACCAATTATTGATGATGTATTTACATGAGATGACATACCCAGAGAAGACCAGGAAGGGCCTTGCCAGATATCACTGAGTTGCCAATACAGCGCACCCATGGTCCGTCCCTCACCATTGACAATTTCACTTTGGCTACGACGATAGAACTCTGTTTGGGATTTTATGCACTGTGCCTGCATAATCTTAATTCCAAAACCAACCAATTGTTGTGGGGCAAGAGAAAGAGCAAAATTCATTAGTATACATGGACTTCCAGAATTGTAAACATCATGAAGAATAAGTATCCAACCACTCTGTATGAACAACCGATCTCATGACAAAATTCTTTTTGAAGTGTACCACTTCAGTTTTGTAAAGAAAAAGTTGTCTTATTTGAAAGCTTCCCAGAATAGTATGACAGGAAAGAAGATAATTTACCGTATATACTCGAGTATAAGACAAGTTTTTCAGACCTTTTTTTAGGCTGAAAAAGCTCCCTTTGGTTTATACTCGAGTCAAGGTTATTTATTATTTTACTCTGTTACTATTATTATTTTTATTATGTTTATTATTTTACTCTAATTATTATTATTATTATTATATTTGCATTATTTTACTGTTATTACTTTATTACATTATTATTTTACTCTATTATTATTATATTTACATTATTTTACTCTATTATTACATTTATTATTTTGCCGTATTTATTATGACATTATTTTACTCTATTTATTGCTATTATTACATTTACATTATTTTACTCTATTATTATTTATTACATTTATTTTTTTACTCTATTTATTATTACTACATTGATTATTTTATTCTATTATTGTTGTTATTACATTTACATTATTTTACTGTATTATTATTATTATTTTACTCTGTTATTACTGTTATTATTACATTTACATTAATTTCCTTATTATTTTTATTACATTTATTATTTTACTCTATTATTATTGGAAGGATACATAAGCACATTTGCATTGAAGAAGGTTGGAAAATTGGTTTAATTAGAGTTGGACAGTCTTATCTTAAATTACAGTTTTATGTAAATATTCAAAAATATTTAACCTACTGATGCCTCAATTAATGTAATGTTATTGCTATCAATTTTTATTTTGAAATTTACCAGTGGCTGCTGCATTTCCCACCATTGGTCTATACTCGAGCCAATACATTTTCCCACTGTTTGTGGTAAAATTAGGTGCCACAGCTTATATTCAGATTAGCTTATACTCGAGTATACATGGTTCTTGCTCACTAATCTTACACCATGAGAATTCAAGATAAAAAGCCCAAACTATCAAAACAGCAGGGATTCTAAAATCCATAGTACCAGCAAGCCAAAGATGAATATAAAAACAGAGTACAACCAGTCATAATATGTACAACAAGAGCAATTGGTAAAGCCTTGAGGGAAAGAGATGTAATCCCATCTGGTCTCTAAGAGATAGAAGCCTGACTTCCAAGTGAGTATTTCTAGGGAAAGCATTTCATAATCCAACTGCCACCCGAGGGAAGGCTGCTTCAAACTCAGGCTAGAAACTTCCTTGCAAACCTCAAGTCTGCTATGCTCTGATGGATTGATTTGCTTCCAGTTTATAAATGTATACATAGCTACAAGAAATTATTTCATCTAAAACGTCCTAGCGTATTTATAGCAAATGGAAATGGTTATAGTTATCAACACTACATCTCTGAATCTCTTTTTCCCTCTCACAGACACATACATGAGAGAGCCTTGCAGTGTGAATTGGGACAATGCCATTCAATGCTACTCTAGGTGGCCAATTGCAACGTTCACACTTGCCTCAAGCAGACAAGAGTTCTTTCTCCCACCCTGGACATTCCACAGATATATATACAGTGTGTGTGTGTGTGTGTGTGTGTATATATATATATATACACACATACATATACACATACATACATGCATGCATGCATACACACACACATTTGTACTCCGCCCTGCTCAACCACTGGGGGGTGAGGGGCTCAGGGCAACTTACATCCGGCACAATTCAACGCCATTACATATAAATAATACATACAGTAATACATATAAAACACAGTAAATTGATTACAAAATTAGTTTAAATAAAATGTACAATGATAAGCAATACAATAATACTGGCTATCTAGCCTTGTCTAAAAATGGGTCCAGTGAACGCAACACAATCAGAAACCTATCCATAGTCCATTTTCCATTACATTATTGTCATTGTCAGTTATCAGCAATCTACCCGAAGGACTGGTCCCATAACCACATTTTTAATTTTCTGCTGAAGGCGAGGAAAGATGTCGCTGCCCTGATTTCACTGAGGAGGGAGTTCCACAAGCGGGGGGCCACCATGGAGAAGGCCCTGCCCCTTGTCCCTGCCAAGTGTACTTGCACCAAAGGCGGGGCTGAGAGCAGGGCCTCCACAGAAGATCTTAAATTTTGAGGTGGAACGTCGAAACAGGTAAGCTGGGTCGGAGCCGTATAAATCTCACTTGCCTAGTTTCCAACTGACATCACCACCTCTGAGGATGCCTGCCATAGATGTGGGTGAAATATAAAGAGAGAATGCTTCTGGAACATGGTTATACTGCCCAGAAAACTCACAGCAGCCCAGTGATTCTGGCCATGAAACCCTTCAACAACACAATGAAATAACAGTTTATGCCTGCATTTTGGAAACTACACTCTGTAGCAGACTGAGGAACTTCCCACCCTCCTTCAGGCCCCAATCTAGTCCTCTGGGCTTCTCCAGGCACCTCCCTTATGATGCTGTGAAAGTGGAGAATGTTTTTCCACTTCTTTTTTCCCTTTTCTAGTCTAGAAGGTTAAAATACCTCTCTAAAGACTTAGTGATTGGTTGTTATAGCTTCAAGTTAAAATATACTGGGATTTTTGGCCTGATCCACCACTGGACTGCAGCTCCACAAGAATTTCTTTGCAATTTTATTTGACCCTCAAGCTTAAGGAGATTCCCCACATTTGCACTACAGCAGCTTCCATTATATTGGAATACAATGTCCCACTGTTCATCTTGTTGGTTGGAGATGATGAGGGCTCTAGGTCTAATGTATCTGTCTATAGAATGTCCAGAGACCCATTTGAGATGGATTTTGTAACAGGCTCTCTGCAACATACAAGGACAAATCCATATTCTTCTCTTTTTTGTCTGAAGGTGACCTCTAAAATCTTTCCAAATGCTCACCTGAGTGAGGTAAATTGTATGTTTGAAGTTCTTGATGGGGTCTGTTTCCTGAGGAAGCTTAAAATGAAGGCCCGCCTGCAGAAGCATTTGCTCATTGCCCTCTGCATGATGCTGTCGATGCCGAGAGAAATTGCTCTCATAGGACCAGTCCTCCTCCAACGAAACCTATTGTTCAAGCACAACCAAATGCACCAATGCAAAAATGTCAGATCTGATGGAAGCAGCACAGCAAATAATAGAGTTTACAGTAATAAATGTTTGCATCAAACCTGTACTTGGTGCACCGATTTCCAGTGCTATTCCTTCTATGCTGCAATTACTTTTCTTCCATTGTTTATTGTTTAACTCTGACTGGAGTACAATCTATAGGACATTATGAAGGTGAGAGGAAGACTTGAGCAGACTTGAAGGGTTTACACAGGATGGGACTTTCTCTGTGATGGCTCCCTCTGCCACAAATTAGATCCAAGCCCCAGAGAATGGTGGAGTCTCCTTCTCTGGAGGCTTTTAAGTAGAGGCTGAATGGCTATCTGTCAGGAATGCTTTGATTCTGTGTTTCTGGATGGCAGGCAGTTGGATTGGAGTTTCTTCTCACTCTGAATCTATGATTCTATGAACAACAGCAATGTAGATAAACAGGGTGATGCACTGGGTGAAGCTCCCAAGCAGACTGGCAAATGGAGCAAGAGAAACTGTAATATACAAATAGTGGAACCAAGGGAAATTTCCAGACAGTTTCCCACCAGTCCCATCCCAACACCCTGGCTGCTGTCTTACACTTTTCACAAGCTTATGAATACCATACAGGCCTTTGGGAAGGAGAAGAAATTTGTGTCTCACCCAGCTACCGTGATGTCCTTGGAGTAAATTGGTAACACTACACTATTTTAAACTTTATTTTGCTTTGAATATGTCTATGTGAAACTAACATACATCAAATTCTTTTTGACTGTTTCCCATAAATGCCTTTTTAATAGGTTTCCCCTGACAATAAGTCTAGTCATGTCCGTCTCTGGGGCGGGGTGCTCATCTCCATTTCTAAGATGAGGAGCCGGCGTTGTCCGTAGACACCTCCAAGGTCATGTGGCCAGCATGACTGGACGAAGCGCTGTTACCTTCCTGCTGGTACAGTACCTATTGATCTACTCACATTTGCATGTTCTCGAACTGCTAGGTTGGTAGAAACTGGGCCTAACAGAGAGAACTCACTCCCCTCCCTGCATTCAAACTGCCAAACTTTCGGTCAGCAAGTTCAGTAGCTCAAGAGTTTAACCTGTTGTGACACCAGGGAGCCCTCATGAAATCATAGAGTAGGAAGAAATCTCGTGAGCCATCCAGTTCAACCCCCTTCCAAGAAAAAGGAAAGTCACTTTGAAAGCACCCTGACAGACGGCCACCCAGCCTCTGTTTAAAAGCCTCCAAAGAAGGAGCCTCCACCACACTCCGGGGCAGAGAGTTCCACTGCTGAACAACTCTTGCAGTCAGAAAGCTCTTCCTCATGTTCAGATGGAATCTTCTTTCCTGTAATTTAAAGCCATTGTTCCACATCCTAGTCCCCAGGGTATTCAACTTGTTTTCTAACTTAAGGTATACCTTGCTTTACTTCTGTGTTGTGAGCGGACTTGAGTCTCATACTGGGACAAAAGTGGGTATGAGTTGCTTTGAATGGGGGTATTAAATAAAATATTTCTGAAAGAAACAAGGCTCATAGTTTTAGTATATGAATGAACTGATGATTGGTGAAAAGTTGAGGAAATTCCTTTCAGCCTCATACTATTAAACTCAAAGCTCCAAACAGACTTTATAGCAGACTTCTCTAACTTGGTGACCTCTGGATTTGTTAGAATACTTTCATCACCTTAAGCTAAGTAAAGATAAATGTTTCTCCTTGACATTAAGTCTAGTCGTGTCCGACTCTGGGGAGTGGTGCTAACCTCCATTTTTAAGCTGAAGAACTGGCATTGTCCGTGGACACCTCTAAGGTCACGTGGCCGGCATGACTGCATGGAGTGCTGTTACCTTCCTGCAGTATTGATCTACTCACATTTGCATGCTTTCGAATTAACAGGTTGGCAGGAGCTGGGACTAACGATAGGAGCTCACCCCACTCCCTGGAATTGAACCGCCAACCTTTTGGTCAGCAAGTTTTGCAGCTTAGCAGTTTAATCTGAAACCACCATGGCACTCTCAAGATAACCCAGCCATAAATTTGGCTAGAAGATATTAAGTCAGGAAAGTTTACTCTTAGCTTTTTGAGAAGAAGAAAAAAAATTAGTGTGGTGTCCTAGTTAGTTGTCAGAAGAGGAATAAGGTTCAAATGGTCTGTCAGCCAAAACAAGGCACTTTTCCAAGTTTAGAGGATAAGGCGTTCATGTGGCCTTGACATACCTGTACCAAGGTGCTGAAGGAGGGCCAAGACTGGAAACCATACTCGGAGGCAAACCGTGCCCTGGGGAATGTGGTCCAATTCCAGCAGTCACTCTGGTAGTTGTAGTAATGAACATCCCCGAAATGGGTGTCATATGGATTATGGGCCAGCCAGCCTTCCTTAACTGACTCTACGCCATTAGTAGGACTTGAGGGAAGAAAAGGGCGACTCTTATCCTCCTGGGTTTCACAGAACACAAGACAAGACAATGCGTAGGGCTCAGAGATAATAGAAGGTTTCTGTAAAAACCAGCTGAACAAGCTATAATTTGGAAAGTAAACGCAAATGCTTAAAGACTGAACTGATGAGTCACTGCCTCTTTCTCTCCCCATGTTAGATCCTCTCTGCTTAGCTAACTCACAAATAAATATTTGTTTCCTGTAATCGGCGGCATGAAACAAGCCATTCACCCCAGCACTGAAAGGAAAGCAATTTCTTCAAGGGGAAAAAAAAACCACCTCCAGATTATGAAGCTCTTAAAGGAAACATTTGGAACAACTCATTTGTTTTCCTATAAGGGAAATCCAAAATAGCCTTGCTTGGTATCACAGTTAGCAAAACTGACTATAGGAAAACTATCAATATCTTTCCAGAGAATGAATACACCGTTGCTTTTCTTCTGTTTGGTAAACTGCCTGACTTAGTTGCCTGCCTGGGATTATAAAAAAGAGAAGGACAGAGAATGGGCAAGCCACAGGCAGATGGGGCAAATGGACTGCGTTCTTCCTTCTGGGTCATCCTTTACAGACCTGATTTTAGAATGAAAATAGCCGATGTACTGTATAATTTATGTTTTGCCATAAACAGAACAGTTGCAGTCCCTGTAAGCATTGTGACAAGGTTATCAGGAAGGTATGTTCTCTCCAATTAGCATCTTATTTATGTTTATTTGACAGACAAGTGTGGATTCTAAAGAGTGCATCACTTGGAAGACTAAACTAAGCCAGGTAAAAATAAGGCCATTACCAGCGCATCACATTTTCCAGGATAGATTGCGAATTAATTCCACAGTGAATGCCTTCATCTCCTACATGTCTAACTGATGTGTTGCAAAGGCTTTCATGGCTGAAATCACTGGATTGCTGTGATTCCAGCCTGTATGGCCATGTTCCAGAAGCATTCTCTCCTGACATTTCGCCCACATCTATGACAGGCATCCTCTGAGGTTGAGGGGTCTGTTGGAAACTAGGCAAGTGAAGTTTAAATATCTGTGGAATGTCTAGGGTAGAAGAAAGAACTCTTGTCTGCTTGAAGCAAGTGTGAATGTTGCAATTGGCCGCCTTGATTAGCATTGAATGGACTTGCAGCTTCAAAGCTTGGCTGGTTGCTGCTTGAGGGAATTCTTTGTTGGGAGGTGTTAGCTGGCCCTGATTGATTCTTTTAAAGATTCTTTTAAGGAATTCCCCTCAACCTCTGAGGATGCCTGCCATAGATGTGGGCAAAACATCAGGAAAGAACATCTGGAACATGGCCATACAGCCTGGAAAACTCACAGCAACCCACTGTATAATTGATCATCTCAAATAATTATTAGTAATTATTGGCAGTAGTTCCATTTCAAGCTTATGTTCTTCAAGAACAGAAGACTATCTATCCCTGCTGCCCTTCAAATGCACTAATAATACTACCTTGCATGGCTGTTGGTCAGCCTAGTTAGGGCTTTTGGGGACTGAAATTCAAATAATCTGGAGGGTGCCAGGTTGAGGAAGATTTCAGGGAAGTGAGAAAAAGAGATATGACCTCCAAAAGAGTCACAGCGGATTGAAATCAAATAGGCAGAGATCTATTTGGAACTTGGGCATCTTACTTCAGTAGATTACAACTCTCAGAATTCTGCATCAACATGTTCTTAATGCTGGATGAAAGACTCCGGGAATGTAAAAAGATTACATTTTGTTGGGGAATTTGAGCTAACCCTCAGTTGGGGTGATTCCACCATAAATATAGCAGAGTACCAGAAGCAAACTTCATAACCAGCTGAAACTTACATGTGATGAGTTGGGATAAGCTTCTATTTCTTAGGATGGCACAGGATTGCAGAGTCAGATCTTTAGGTTCAAAAATATTTATTGAAGTAAAAGAAATATATTCTAGATAGAAAAGGTTTTGGAGTTAACTACCTTAGTAAATCTAATCTTCTAAGAAGTAAAAGGTAAAAAGTAAAAAAAGATCCATGCAGCTACATTTTGCCTAGAGAGAGAGGCAAAAGGTACATCCTCACAGGAAGGAAGGAAAAGCAGAAGAGACAATGGTGGTGAATGGCCACATGGCCAGCCCAGGGCAATAGAAATACCTTTGAAAAGGAAGTTCCCTCACAGAGATTCCACTGCTACATCTTCAAAGAGGGGAGGAGACAGTGGTAAGGAGGAGGAGGAAAGACAAAGCCCTTTTGGTAAACATGCATAGGAATGTGAGGAATCCCTCAGCCTAATCTTATCTCTAGTCTAGCTAATAATTGAGGTCTGGAAACTTGATGACACAAGAGACTTGTGCAGTCCAGGGATGAAACCCAACACATTTCCAAGCACCTGGTCTAGCATGAGACTCCTTGCAACATTTTTGTCGTCCTTCTTAAATGCTTGGAAAAGTAAGCCATTCACATAGTACAACCAGGCAATTTATCAGCCTCCCTTTCCCCAAGGAAGACCTTCTTAATTTAATGTAAAAGGTAATCAAAAAAGGGAAAGCATTTGAATAGACATACAGTAGAGTCTCGCTTATCCAACCTTCGCTCATCCAACATTCTGTCAAGACAGTCTGCCTCCCGCCCGGATCCACAGCTGTTTCAATACATTGTGATGTTTTGGTGCTAAATTCGTAAATACAGTAATTACTACATAACGTTACTGTAATTTGAACCACTTCTTCTGTCAATTTGTTTTAAAACATGATGTTTTGGTGCATAATTTGTAAAATCATAACATAATTTGATTTTTAATAGGATTTTCCTTAATCCCTCCTTATTATCCAACATTTTCGTTCATCCAATGTTTTGCTGGCCCATTTATGTTGGATAAACGAGACTTTACTGTACTACAAAGGAATCACAGACGTAAAGGGAAAGTGGAAGATTTAATTATAGCCTGGGTTGATTTGAGTCCATCAGTGAAGGCTCAAAGAGAACAGATGTTTCCAGATTTTTACACAGTGCATTTGTAATGTTCAAGCTCTGCCAGCACCATATGCAAACTATCTACCCTCTTCCAAACACAAATGGGAAATCAGCAATTCAGCAAACCTTAAAGCCCTCTAACAAGCCCACACTTTTCCTCATTTGGGGGAAATCAGTACTTACGGCGAGAACAATTTCTCGGATATTCTTCACATAAAGTGTGACATAATCCTTCACATAAATGCTCATTTTTGCACGTGGAATGGAGAACCAGTTGGCTGCAATAGCCGCTTCGTTTTCATTGTTCCCGCTCCACACAATAATAGATGGGTGAGATTTTAGCCGCTTCATCTGAAGAAGAAATGTGTTTCACTTCAAAGAAAAGTTATATGCATGTAAAAAGAAAAAAAAATATGAGCAGTCAGAAATCTCTAAAGGATAACCTTTCTGCTTACTCTTTGCTATCCTACTGTCTGGAAACAGGCACCTTTAATCCCAACATGTTTTTGTGAGCTTTCGGGAGAGCAGCTTCTTATAAAGTGCTATGCTGCTTTCTAACTGTTTTTTTTCTTTTTTCTTTTTCTTTAATGTACAATTGAAGTTGTTTTAATGTTACAGCTTGTGTAATTCTACCACACTCACTAACTTTTTAAGGCTTTTATCTATAATGTATTTGTTTTAATGTTGTCATGCATTTTGAGCTCTGATTCTGAAGAAAAAAGTAGTCTTCTAGCCCCCATGTTTTTTTAATTTCTACATGAAACTGCTGGAAAAGGTCATCCAGAGTTTTGGAGTTGGGTGCCATTTCTACGCAGGTTACACACAACTCTACTAATTCTTAATTCCAAGGATGTCCCCCAGATCCTGGACCAATGCCTGGCTGCTGCAATGGACTAGTTGAGGGTGAACAAGCTGAAGTTTAATCCAGACAAGACAGAGGTCCTCCTGGTCAATCATGAGGCTTATCGGAGTACAAGGTGGCTACCTGTGCTTGACGGGATTACACTCTCCCTGAGGACACAGCTCCGCAGTCTGGGGGTCCTCCTTGATTCCGCACTGATGCTTGAAGTTCATGTGTTGGCAGTAGCCAGGAGAGCCTTCACACAATTAAAGCTTGTGCACCAGCTGAAACCATACCTCAAAAAGTCAGACCTGGCTACAATGGTCCATGCCTTACTTACATCAAGACTGTAATGCACTCTACGTGGGGCTGTCTTTGAAGACAGTTCGGAAACTGCAATTGGTGCAAAGATTGGCAGCAGACTAATAACTGGAGCTGGTAATAGGAAGCACACATACCCCTATTAAAGCAGCTCCATTGGCTGCCAATAAGTTTTCAGTCTCAATTCAAAGTGCAAGTCATCACCTATAAAACCCTGAATGGTTTGGACCCTGCCTATCTTCGTGACCGCATCCCCACCCCCATGAACCTGCTTGAGCATTAAGATCTGCCAAGGAGGCCCTCCTCTCAGTCCCTCCACCGTCACAAGCGCCATTGGTAAGGATGAGATAGACGGCCTTCTTGGAGGCTCCCCCACCCCCTGGCTTTGGAGCACCCTCCTTAGGGAGATTAGACAGGCCCCACACTTCCATTAGGATCTGAAGACTTGGATGTTTAAACAAGCCTTTGAGAACGTCTAGCCCCAATGATCCGCAATCAATGACACAGCACTTCACTTTCATCCCATGCCCCGTTCCTTAGCTACAATTTGCACTATCCTATTCTCTTGTCTTATTTGCAGTTTGGCCATGTCTTATGGCAGTGTTTCTCAACCTGGGGGTCGGGACCCCTGGAGGGGTCGCGAGGGGGTGTCAGAGGGGTCACCAAAGAACACCAGAAAATACAGTATTTTCTGTTGATCAAGGAGGTTCTGTGTGGGAAGTTTGGCCCAATTCAATCGTTGGTAGGATTCAGAATGCTCTTTGATTGTAGGTGAACTATAAATCCCAGCAATTACAACTCCCAAATGTCAAGGTCTATTTTCCCCAAACTCAACCAGTGTTTACATTTGGGTATATTGAGAATTCGTGCCTTTGATTGTAGGTGAACTATAAATCCCAGCAACTACAACTCCCAAATGTCAAGGTCTATTTTCCCCAAACTCAACCAGTGTTTACATTTAGGCATATTGAGAATTCGTGCCTTTGATTGTAGGTGAACTATAAATCCCAGCTACTACAACTCCCAAATGTCAAGATTCTATTTTCCCCAAACTCCACTAGTGTTTACATTTGGGCATATTGAGAATTCGTGCCAGGTTTGGTCCAGATCCATCATTGTTTGAGTCCACTGTGCTCTCTGGATGTAGGTGAACTACAACTCCCAAAACTCAAGGTCAGTGCCCACCAAACCCTTCCAGTATTTTCTGCTGGTCATGGGAGTTCTGTGTGCCAAGTTTGATTCAATTCCATCATTGGTGGAGTTCAGAATGCTCTTTGATTGTAGATGAACTATAAATCCCAGCAATTACAACTCCCACAGGACAAAATCAATACTCTCCCCCAATCCCACCAGTATTCAAATGTGAGTGTATTGGGTATTTGTGCCAAATTTGGTCCAGTGTATGAAAATACATCCTGCATATCAGATATTTACATTACGATTCAGAACAGCAGCAAAATGACCGTTATGAAGTAGCAATGAAACTAATTTTGTGGTTGGGGGTCACCACAACATGAGGAAGCGTATTAAGGGGTCGTGGCATTAGGAAGGTTGGGAACCACTGTCTTATGGTATTTGTCACCATAGGTCATTGGATGTTGTTCTGAGTTTTAAATTGCTGTTTTTAATATGCTATAGTTCTTCCTTTGTATTGTACTGTGTGTTTATGTTATGCTTTGTCTCAGCACTTTGTGCCATATGTAAGCTGCCCCAAGTCCCTTCACGGAGATGGAAAAGACGTACAGAAATAAAGTGAATATTACTATCATTACTATAACAATAATAAAGTGTATTGCTATCCTAATTGGTATCATGAGACTTTTTAAAGTGTTATTTTACCAATTATTATGTAAGCATTACACTTTCTAGGTTTCTGATGTAAATGTCAAACGTTCCCACCTAAAGTCACAAAGTGACCTTAGGACTGGTAATAACTGGAAAGACTGGCATTTTCCAGATCTGTACTTGGAAGAGGAAATAGAAAAAGGAGTTCTCCCTGCACCCGCTGATAAAAAAGCCCTGCTGACTCAAGACAAGAGAGGCAAAGGCAAGGGGCAAAGGCTTCAAACTTGCTTCTGATAAGGATAACTTCAAAGTCCTTAAAAAATTTCAAGTTAGGCTTATCAGTCATAAGAATAAGCTCCCTCCTCTCCTGCCTGAGCCATGCTAACTTGTTCTGATGGAATAACTTCAAAACTCAAACCTCAAGCATGAGCTCGTATTACGGCCTGACTCTATGAGGTGCCACACGGAAGGAGAAAGCTAACAGGATCAGTCAAGAAAAACAAGGCTGCAACTAGCATGGATGAGGGAACTCTCTTCCACACCAACCCCTGCAGATTTATTCCTTTCTGGAGAAATGTGTCAGCAGTAAAGTAAATTTGGATCACACCATTTCTCACTCAGTCTTTCTCACCTCTTGTACTCCTCTTTCTCCTTCTCTATTCCAACTCCTTATCTCTTTCCTTTTCTCTTCTTGCCCCAATGGAATGTCAGAAATATTAAATATTAACTAGGCATTTTAATTACAAAAATGTGAGTCAAGCACTAAAAGGGTTAAGTGGATTCAATGACTCAGCAAAAGCTGCAGTTCAATATAAGCAGATGTGCCTGTAGATTAGTAGCTTCAGTCTGTGAGAGGTTTCTGCAGAAGAGTCTCAGTGTGTTAGTAGGCCTCAGTATAAGAAGGCCTCAGTGTTAGTTCACCTTAGTGTATGAGAGGCATCAGTCTGAGAGAGCCCTGAGTATTTGAGAAGACCTCAGTGGGAGAAAGTCCTCTGTGTAAGGTAGGCCTTGGTGTGAGTAGGCCTGGTGTGAGAAGCTTGTCTGAGAGCAAGCTCCAGTGTGAAGGCTGCTGTGTGTAAAAAGCTACTGTGTGAAGCTCCTGTGTAACTTCGGTGTGAGAGGAGGCTCTGTGAGAGCGAAGCTGTTGATCTGCATGAGAAAGAAGCCCAGAGTCTTCTTTGTTCATGTTATGGAATCCTTGTTTTTGTAAATAGTGCAACCATATTATTTTGCTATAAAGAAAAGCCTCATATGGAAGAGATAACATTGGTCCGTGTGTTTTTGTTCATTTTATCACTTTTGGCTACTCATGCTGGGTCACGCTGCTTCTGATAAGTTACTCTGCTGTACATTATGAGAAAGGTCTTTTGCTATTAAAACTACTCGCTCAACATAGACTCCCTTCTTTGGTCCTCCCTCCACCAAGTAGGCTCTCATTGTACATCACTGGAAACCTTTAAAAAAAACTTCTGCAGAGTTACAACATAAAGGGAAAGCTTAAGAGCTTCCCCTCCCCAATTTCAGCAGACAAATTAGGCTTTTTTCACATACACCAATAGAAAGCATTTTTGAAAGTCATCATTTTTGGGGTAGGGTGAGGGTTGAGGAGGGGGCTCTACATGTTGGCTAATGGTATTCTAAATGAAATATACTCTGGGAAGGCTTTTTTGGTACTAATAGAGCAGTGGTTCTCAACCTGTAAATCCTCAGATGTTTTGGTCTTCAACTTCCAGAAAGCCTAACAAGCTAGTAAACTGGCTGGGATTTCTGGAATTGTAGGCCAAACACCTGGGGGCCCACAGGTTGAGAACCACTGTAATAGAGCTATCTGGTTCAATATTAATAATTCTTCTCAGCCCAACCCTCTTATGACTTACTCTGACTTGAAGAGTTTACTTAACACCATGTTTTGAGCAAGAACATGGACCACAATATGATCAATGGGGCAGAGAGAATAATCATGTAAAAGCAGCTTATCTCAGAGAATAAAATGAATGTGAAGATTGACTATAAATTGCTATCATGAGCATCATTCAACTTATTTTTCTTATTTGGTTAAGGCTGCTTAGCAAACATGCCACTATTTGTGCAGTTTGGGCTCATGGGAAGAGAAAGATGGGAAGCACTGTGCAACTGTAGTCAATAATAGTCTCTGTGTACATTTAGGACTGTGATTCTAAAGAACTGAATATACCATACCTGGTGAGTAATTTCAGATCTTACTGAGTCTAAATAACTCTGGTCAGTTGGGTAAAGGGCACAAGCAAACATGAAGTCCTGCCAAATCTAGGGAATGAAGACAAAATGAAAAAAAAAGTCTTTAGCCACTTCCTCTGTGTAAACAGTCTGCACATTCTTCAGGTTCTATCACTCAAGACTCCCGTCCCCAGCCCGACATCCTCCAGACATGTTCTACCAGAACTCACATCACCCCAACCATTGCAGACAACAGTCATGCAGTTTACAGATAATGGCACTTGGGGGGGAAAGCCTCGCCCCAGTTGTTTTAAAGACCCTGACTGTTTCAAAAGTGAAAGAAAAGGTGACTAGGTATGATGAATCATAGATTTCAGGAGCTTGAATGCTGCCTAGTCCAACCCCCTGCCATGAAACAACATCCAACAAAAGCACTCCTGAAATATGCACTTCCAACTTCTGTTTAAAGGCATCTAGCATTTGAAAGTCCACCATTCTCTGATGCAATTTCTTTCATTATAACACAACTTTAGGTTGAGAGCCAGTATGGTGTAGTGGTTTGAGCACAGAAATAGGACTCTGGAGGCCAGAGTTCACTTACCCCTTTTGGTCATAGAAACTCACTGGTTGATCTTGAGTGAGTCACACTCTCAGCCCCAGAAAACCCCATTAAAGTGTCACCTTGGCACAAGCCCCGTAGCCAGGATTTTGATTCGGGGGGTGGGGGGTGGGTGGGCTGAGTTTGATTTGAGGCACTCAAAATGGCCAGCTTCTCATCAAAGGAAATTTAGTATAATGCCAAGTTTTTAACTTTGTGGTTTTTCTATACAATGTAACTGTATTCTCAATTTGCTTCTGACACGATAAATAAATTCCTTCAGATATTTAAAATGGTTATCAAGCCACCGTTTAGGCTTCTCTGGTCCAATGGTTGAGCCAAAATGACACATGGAACTTAACTCACTCACCCAAGTCAAGCTACACAATATCCAAAACTAACCAAGTTATTTTAGTACATACTTCAAACAGTTGTACAAGCACTTCATCCCATCCACAGCATTAATGACACCATAATAAGAAAGGAACAACCAGCTATTTGCTCACCCTTTCATGGCACTTAAATTAGCTGTCTGAATTAGTTGTCTCCTCGGTAGGGCTGGCCTTGATAATTTCCACTCAGACTACAGAGATAATAGACGGGGGAGGAAAGAACATTATTGTGACCTTCATAGCAATCATTTTAGAAGGCTATGGGAGATGGTGTTGAGGGTCTGATTAAAATGGCGGGGGAGTTATGGGCTTACTTAAGAGTCTTTTGTCTTTCTTCCCAAAATGTTTGCACTGAAATGCACTAGGAACAAAAATAAGGTTCCTGAAAAGTGGGAGTTCCATAGGATTGGGACAGTTTTTAAAATACTGAAAAACATACTGAAAGGGTAAAACTGCATAGGCATCCTAAGTGATCTGGGTGAGGGAAATGGCTTTCCATCTTGAAACATCAAAGAGGTTCCCAAAGCCCACTACACAGTGTGGCACAGACAAACGCTCAATTTTATTAGGATTAGTAGCTTAGTGATTTTCTTCTCAGGGGCAGATGATGGCTTCCTTGTGTAAGAGGCTGGAAATCTGTTTAGTCTGAACCTTTCCCCAAAATAAGTGCCATCCTCTGGACAGCGTCATTGCAGTTCAGTACAAAAGCTACACAGATTCACAGTCACATTGACAATGTACCGATAGTCTTTTTCACACTGAGTCACTGCACACCTGCATCAATGAAAAGTATGGTAAATGGCAAACAGAAATTCAGCCTGTGTGGCCCTTTCTCAACACAGATGCTGTAGGAAAAAAGCCTCTGCTGCTGAATTTCCACTGGTCTTGCAATAGCTAAAAGAGTCTCTCCTTCTCTTTAGTGATATATCCACTTGTGTCCTGTTTCCATGGCATGGTGGAAATGGGGGTGGAACACAGAAGTGTTGCATTTGGATGCGGGCCAAAAGGGGGGGGGGCTACGCTTTGCCTGGTGACATGTTTGATCAGAACTCTGGAATGTGTGCTTAATACAAGATAACTTCTAAGTTATGTAGGCATTATTTTTAAACAGTTCAAAGAAGGCATTGCCCTTCCAGCCATACTTATGCATGTCTGTAACTTTCTTGAAAACATTCCTCTGTGCCTGGCCTGAAGCTTTCTGTTCTTGGTCTCAAGCCAAAGCCATGTCATTTCTAAATGTATATCTACCTTCCAAATCAGAACATCTTAAAACGATTTGTTGTTTCTGTGTGCCTTCAAACCATTCCTGACTTATGATGACCCTAAGGCAGCGTTTCTCAATCTGGGGGTTGGGACCCCTGAGGGGTTCATGAGGGGAGTATCGCGAGGGGTTGCCAAAGACCATCGGAAAGCACAGTCTTTTCTGTTGGTCATGGGGGTTCGGTGTGGGAAGTTTAGCCCAATTCTATTGTTGGTGAGGTTCAGAATGCTCTTTGATTGTAGGTAAACTATAAATCCAAGCAACTACAACTCCCAAATGTCAAGGACTATTTTCCCCAAACTCCGCTGGTGTTCACATTTGGGCATACTGAGTATCCGTGCAAGGTTTAGTCCAGATCCATCATTGTTTGAGTCCACAGTGCTCTCTGGATGTAGGTGAACCACAACTCCAAAACTCAAAGTCAATGCCCACCTAACCATTCCAGTATTTTCTGTTGGTCATTGGAGTCCTGTGTGCCAAGTTTGGTTCAATTCCATCCTTGGTGGAGTTCAAAATGCTATTTGATTGTAGGGAAACTATACATCCAAGCAACTACCAAATGACAAAATCAATCACCCCACCCCACCAGTATTCAAATTTGGGTGTATCGAGTAATTGTGCCAAATTTGGACCAGTAAATGAAAATACATCCTGCATATCGGATACTTACATTACGATTCAAACCAGTAGAAAAATTACAGTTATGAAGTAGCAGCAAAAATATTGTTATGGTTGGGGGTCACCACAACATGAGGCACTGTTTTAACAGGGTCGTGGCATTAGGAAGGTTGGGAACCACTGCCCTAAGGCAAACATATCACAAGGTTTTCTTAGCCAGATTTCTTCAGAGGGGTTTTTACTTGGAATCTTCTGAGGCTAAAAGAGTGGGGCTTCCCCAAGGTTAATAGCCCAAAGGGGATTCGAACCCTGCTTTCCCAAGTCCTAGTACAACCAGTACATCATAGTGGCTCTCAATAAAACTATTAAAACAAGAGAAGAGCATAATTTCCTGAAACCGGAACAGCTAAAGGCCACCTTTTTGAAGGACAGTAAGAAACAGCAATTGATAATTTTCCTCTTATCTCCATAATTACAGCAATTCTAATAAGATATCATAAAATTATTTGACATAAATTAAATGGGAAGTATATGCTGCACGTGTCTATTTCCTCTGCATTATCTTACAGAAGATTGTTATTTTTTGCATTTGTCAGAGAGAAGAGATAAACATAAATCTGTGTGCGAGGGGTGTGCACAGTCCTTGCCTCATGACTGTACTTCAGTAAAGCCAACAAAAAACAAGCACCAGCACTTCTTGTTTTCTTGGCATCTGGAACTGCTCTGGGTTACCAAGGTGAAGCAAGGTCTCACTGGATGTGCGTGGGAGAAAATGTCATGTCGAGGTTTACTTAGAGGAAGAAACTGAGTTTTGCAATAATTTCTAATTGTAACCTACAAACCCCTAAATCTCAGCTGATTGCTCTGTCATGCTACTGACAACAGCACTGCTAGCATGGCTCATCCCTTGTACTATCTGAATTAAGCACTCTGGCAAATCTTTAATTTTTTTGCAAATGGGCAATGCAGAAATATGAAGAAATCTTAACTAAGAGAGAATGGTTCTCTACAGTCATGTCCATCAAAAGGGAGCAAAAAGCAGAGCAAGACTAGAAAGGCAGACAGAATTGCAGGCCCGATTCTGTCCTAACAAGTCCCACAAACTATCTACAGACCCACTAAGAAAATCCAACAAATGCCACGTTTAGCAAAAGACAAGAGGGATCTTCTCACCTCTGCAGGAGTCTACCGTATACCATGCAACTGTGGACAAAACTACATAGGGACCACCAAACACATCATCATTCAAACACGAATCAAGGCACATGAAAGGCACTGCAAACTAATTCAACCAAAGAAGTCAGCCATAGCAGAGCACTTGATGAACCAATCTGAACACAGCATATTATTTGAGAACACAGAAAGGCTGGACCATTCTAACAACCATATCAGACTACACAGAGAAGTCATGGAAATCCATTTTTAAAATTACTTTTAAAAATATCATTACAACATTTAAAACATTATTTATGGTTTTGTTTTTAAAAATCTACTGTGGGTTTGTTTACCATAATTCCCAGTTCATCACAGATATCATAGAACTCATCTTGCTCATATATACCTCCTCCCCAAACACGAAGCATATTCATGTTGGCATCAGTTGTAGACTGCAAGAGGAGCCTTAACCTGTAAAAATGCAAATGGAATTCAGTTTTGAATGAAATGGCATTACTTGTTAAAAACCTACAATGACTTCACATGAAAGCAATCTATTAAGTTCAGTGCATAAAGGAAGGTTAGGCAGTGCATGCCTAGCCTTTTTCCATTTCAGCTGGACTTGCATGGGATAATGTGAATCCTAGTGAACGTAAGAAGATTTTTTTTGAAGTGGACATCTTCAAATAATGATTGCTTTTTTCCCCATCCATATCTAAGGCAGAATCAGTGCCAACTTCAGACAGAAAGGAACTAGCCTTTTTATCTTGCCCTGTTCCTTCAAGGGATTTTCTGTATAATCATTGGACTCATGATCTTATTTAGACAATGCAAGCAAGTCTTTCTCGACCTTTTTATCTTGGAAGGACCCTTAATCTAATTTTCAGCTCTCAGGAAATCCTTGTATCAAAAATATAAAAAATATTGCATCTACAGCTCATTTTTTAATTCTTTTGCAACCTTTTTTTTTTTTTAGCGTACTAAAAATATTTCTACTGCATTCTTTTTTAGTCATAATCTCTCATGGAGGATTTCCAGGAACCCTGTTCAAGTAACTCTGCTGTAAGGTATACTACTGTTTCCAGCAAAAGATTTTGTGGCATCTTAAAAACTAATGAATGGCTGTGTGGACTGCAGCACAGCGCTTAACTTTAGATTTTGTGTTGTATTGTATTTATTGAAACATATCCTGTCCTGTATCCAAAAACCTCAGATTGATGTGCAATAAAATCAATTTAAAGCAATACATAGCATAGTAAAAGTAAAGGTTTTATCGACATTAAGTCCAGTTGTATCCGACTCTGGGGGTTGGTGCTCATCTCCATTTCTAAGCCAAAGTGCCGGCGTTGTCTGTAGACACCTCCAAGGTCATGTGGCCAGCATGACTGCATGGAGCGCCAATACCTTTCCGCTGGAGAGGTACCTATTGATATACTCACTTTTGCATGTTTTCAAACTGCTAGATTGGCAGAAGCTGGGCCTAACAGCAAGAGCTCACCCCGCTCCCCGGATTCGAATTGCCAACCTTTCAGTCAGCAAGTTTAGCAGCTCAGCAGTTTAACCCTCTGCGCCACTGGGAGTTCCTATCATTGTGCTATCCTTATACATAGCATAATAATTTTAAAAGACTAAAATATATATTGGAATCAGAATATTTAAACCCAGTTGAACAATATTAAATAACAATTATCACAGAAGATGTGCAAGGCAGATATCAACTAGGCCTCAAATAACAACAGCAATAATAATAATAATCATCATCATCATCATTTATAGACTGCCCTATCTCCCCGAAGTGAATCAGGGCGGTTTCCAACAAATATGACATTCAATGCTAAAAGAAAAACAATACAAACGGTTTACATCAGGACAAGACACATTAGACAATATATAACAACATAACTATATCTTAGTAATCAAAATAGTGAAAAATAAACTAAAAACATAAACTAAAAACATAAAATACAAAAAACCCCTGATAAAACACACTAAAAATACAATATAAAACCAAGTACATTGGAGCTCCATCAGGCGAAGTTCAACAATAGCAATGGCAAAGGCTTTAATAAAAAGCTAAGTTTTGACTTGATACCAGAATGACACCAGCATTGGCACCAGTCAGATCTCTGTGGAGAGGGTGTTCCATAACTGGATTATGAGAGGCGAGTAATCCATGACTTGATATGGTAACATGTTAAGGGGCTGAGACTTGAAAACACTAAAACAAATACAAAAGGCATATTTTTATTTTACTATAAGGAACAGCATTTTACTATGCAATTGTAATAACAGGACTTGAGCATTTGTAGATTTTGGTATCCATAGGGACCCTGGAACTGTATTTAATTTCCATCTACAACAGGAATGGGAACCATACAGCCCCCTAGATTTTGTTTACATGTTTCAGTATTCCTTATCTCAGACTATGTAGACTTTAAATCCTGGGAGTTGTAAGCTAGCTGGATCTGGAAGGCCCACAGATTCCCACTTCTGTTTAACAGTTTTGTTTTGTTTTGTTTTTTCATGTCAGGAGTGACTTGAGAAACTGCAAGTTGCTTCTGGTGTGAGAGAATTGGCTATCTGCAAAGACGCTGTCCAAGGGACACCCGGATATGTTACCATCCTGTGAGGGGCTTCTCTCATGTCCCTGCATGAGAAGCTGGAGCTGACAGATGGGAGCTCACCCTGCTCCCCAGATTCAACTGCTGACCTTTCAGTCAGCAGTCCTGCCAGCACAAGGGTTTAACTTATTGCGCCACCGGGGATTCCTGTTTTCAAGCTGTGAATTGTTTCATCTGAGGGTGCAGAACCAGGAGGGCTGACTGCATCAGCAGGTATTGTAATGTGCACAAATTATTACAATGTCTGAACATTTTGTTTCATAGAATGGTTCCAGGCAGACTGTTTGATTTGGTGGGATATATGGCATGACTGACTGAAAACTCATACGGCATGTTTACAGATCTCTCATTGGCCTCTTTCAGAAACCACACTGGGTAGGAAGGAAAAATCACTCTTTTGTAAGTATGCTTATGTCAAAACCCTATCTAAAGAAAGCTGAAATGTGAGGCAGATGTTACGAATCCTTCCTGTCATGCTACCCTTTCGTGTGCAAGGAGTATTTTGACATACGGGCCTTTTCAGAGAGAAGCACTCTTCACATAAACTTTCAAGCAGTTCAATCCTAGAAAAAAACTGTGCTCAGGTAAATGAAACCAAATATGGTAATTCCTACTCAGCATTAATAGCCAAAGGCAAAATCTTTGCATTCATTTGATATATTTAAAATCTTTCAAAGAAAACTTACATGCCAGGTGTCACTCTGTCTTGAAAGGAATCTGCTGGAATCCAGTTGGATCCCTTCACAAAAACTGGAAGTCCGTTGATTCTGAAATAAAAACTCAAACCTGGCGACCCAGGAATGGGCTCCTCTATCAGTTCTACTGTTCGGAAATAAACCTGGAGATAATTAAACATATATACAGGTTTACAGGAAGTTGAAAAATGGCAAAGGAAATCAGACTTCCACTTCAGGAACAACCAGTAGAACCAAAATCTCATTCATGGTTCCTTCTTTTCATCCCCCACTATGTGCACAATAACAAATAATGGAATCTTATTGTGAGGTTTGTTGAAGTGACTCTTGAATAGCGATTCAATTAATATAATTTGGAAATTGCTGGGAGATTCTAGTGCCCTTATGTATACATCTCCAGCAGACAACATGTACAAGTGCTATAGAACACCCACACAGCCAGACTGAGGTGACTGAAAGAGAAATATGATGAAACTACTGGACAGAATGTTGACTGTAATTAAACTACATTTACAGAGACTGACAGCAATTTGAGACCAGATTTTTAAAAGTATGTCAGTCTTTTTTTTCTTTTTCTTTTTTTACAGATGGCCCCCTTTATCAGAATTAGACTAAAGGACAGAAAAACAGGTGTGAGACTCTGCTATAAAAACAAGCTGGCAAGAAAGAGCATGAATCATTTTCTTTGGAAATTCTAAAAAGGGGAAGCAGAAGCAGCAGGAAATTTTCTCCTCCAAGTGTGGGGACCTTCCACAGCCTAGCACTTCCTAGATGTATTGCACTACAGTCCCAACATCAACAATTAGCACAATCACTGGACACGCCAAGTAGAGTGACAGAAGGTGTAGTCCCACCCATACTGGAAAATCTTACTGGAGAACGAGGCTGCATTCTCTGCAAGGCTTAACATTTCAAGTACAAAAAGCCAAAGGAATTTTGCAATAACAGAAAGAGAATTGTTAAACTAAAATTGTAAAATTAAAGCACTCCATAATTAGCAGGTTCTATCAACCATCGCAAAGCATCACAATACAAGCAAGTTATTCCAGTTTTTCCTAGAGAAAGAGTGTGTAATGTGTGGCCCTCCAGGTTTGGTGAATTACTATTTCCATCTGCATAATTAACTATCAAATTTTGGTAATATTTATTATTTTATTTATAGCATTTATATTCCGCTCTTCTCACCCTGAAGGCAAACATTCAATACCGTTAGGCAGGCAGGACAGACAACAGATAGAGGTATATGACAGCATTTTTCAAATTGCTTAGGTGGAGAGTAAGCTGGGCTGAAGGCAGTGTGATCACCCTGACCCAGGCTTTGAACTGCTAACCTTTTGATTGGTGTGATCTATTGCTGCTGGTGATTAACCAGCTGTGGGGATAAACTGGGATCTGGTAAAGAAGTATTGGAATCTCACCATGTTTAAATCCCACATAATAAATGTAACCTGCTGTTTTAGAAGCATTCGTTCCAATTCCCCAGTTTCACAGTATAGTAAAAAAAATCAGGTTGTTGACCATGTTGATGGTCCAGTAACTAGAGATTAACGAGGCAATAATAAAACTTCCCAGATGCCCTAATTTCCTGCCCAAGGGAAACAACGAAAATATAAAATACCTAAGATGAACTATGTCCATGGGTTATGATCCACATGCTGACTCACACCACCCTCAAGTGTCAAATTTATTCATACATTGCGCCAAGCTACTAACAAGGAAATGTTAAGTGTTTTGCTTTTTAAAAAATGCTAAAGTTGATGTCTCACATTCTCACGCTATTGCAAATATACACGGCATTTCTTATCCAAATGTTGAAGAAAAATTCCAGCACATAATTTTCATTTCTGTATTGTGATACTTTTATTTACACATCCATGATACTGTTAACAAGAGTTTCTCAAGCTCAGAAATGGCGTGAGCTTGAGAGTCTGGAAAATAGAGCTGTAAACCTTTTAATGAAACACCTCTCCCTTTTTTGAATTTCAAAATAGCTGTAATTTCTCTGTGTCTGCCTGGTGCTTGGGAGAGGTGAAAGCTGACTGCCAGTCATCTTCTAATTTTGAGGAGCCAAAAGAAACATTATACAGTTTAAGAGGAAGCTGAAAACCATTTCCATGTGGTGGCTGCTCCATGTGTAGGATAGGAATGTTTATCACTTGAACTGACCTGATCATCTGGAGGATTTTCACCACAGTGACTGCTAAGAATGTGTACTGGTAGCCACAAATGAGTCTCTTTGGAGGAATCATGAATGTGAATCTAAGAGAATAGGTCACATCATAGCTGTTCAAAGAGAAGACAAGGTCGCGGTTCTTTCCTAGTTTCTTCCAAGGATGCAACAACACATGCATTGATCAACCCTTCCAAATGATGGATGCTGGGTGTTAATGCAGCAGCTGTAGGCTCTGGCTGCCATCCCATCTCTCCATTGGATAGAAGCAACCTGAGCACAGAGCTGCAGTTTCTGGGTGGGAAATCCCTGACTCATGAGCCTTATATGGCCTACTTAAGATTCACTGGTTGTCTCTGGGAGGAGACAGAGCAAGAGGAAGGTGAAGTGAGGACAGAGGGAACCCCAAAGACAGAAGTCAACTTGATTCCCTCCTTGCCTTCCTCACATAGGGGAACAAAATGTAATGAACCTAGATTTCTGCCCCACTTGCCTCCCTCCCATGAAAGCTCCAACAGGTGTTTTGGACAGGCAACTAAGGACAGTACAATGGGTCCTTGGTATTTTATGCGATTTAGTTCCAGGACCACTGAGGATATCAAAATCTGTGGATACCCAGGACCCATGATATACAATGGAGTAGTAAAATGGTGTCAAGATGTGCTTTTTGGATTTTTTTTAATTTCAAGCTGTGGATGGTAGAATCCATACATATAGAACCTGTGGATATGAGGAGCCAACCATACTGTGATATCAAAATCAGGGATGTAGCAACACTTCCAACAGCAAGCATCTGGCAGCAACTTCTAACATCATGTGAAAGGATGGATTATGACTCCTGGTTTACTGATTCATCCTGCTTTCCAGGAAGCATCAAACACAGAAACATAAATTACAGACAGCATAAGAGTTGGCATACCTTTGAAAACGTCTTAATCTCATAATCACCCTCCATGTTAAACACTGCTGTCATGTTGTATCCCGTCTGGTTTCCATGTCCTCTGGGCCACCAAGTTTCCACAGTCACATTCTTTTCCCCACCACAAGGAAAGAAATATGATATAAAGACAGAAGTCAAGCTAAAACTATATTGTTTTAATTGGTCCCTCAAAACAGAATAATGACCTTATTTTGGACTGCAGCAACATGGCCGCTTAAGTAAAATAGATGTTGGCATTCAATTTATCTATTACTGGCCATTATTAAAAGTCATAAGTCTGTACAAATATCCCAAACAGACAGATCTATATTGAGTATTGAGTGCTTTAATATTTCACAGACAGCAAGTGTGGAGGAAACCAGTTAAGAATACAATATGTAATGCTAGTTACCAAAGGCATGATTACAAAGCTCAATCATTAGTGTTTCCTCTTTCATTACTTGGAATTACATTGAACAGTCAATATACAAATAGTCACGAATTCTGAACACACAAGAGAATGAAGCGTTTTTAATATGTACCTTCTACTGTGCTAAGTAAAACAGAGAATAGCTTTTGAAGCAAAGGCACTGCTGGAGCATATTGATTGGCTGTTAGTGATGTCATATCCCAGCTCAACCATTTGCTATTTCTTAGCTGGAAAACACTAAATGCACTCAATTTTGGCAGCGGGGGGGATGGGGATTACACGTTTTAGAGAGCTCCAGTCAGTTCAAGCAGTTTCAGCTTTGGAACACTGCCCAGGGATTAGTTCTGCTGTTTCAAATAATACATTTCCTTATAGTTTAATACACAAAACATGACCTATCAACATAAATTATAGATGCAGATGGTCTTTGATGTATAAAAGTGCACCCCTGAGTCCTTTGTCATACAAATATGGCATCAGGAGGCATGAAAGCTGAAAATGACAAAAGGTGAGCATTCAGCCCATCTGGTTATACTGGTGAAGAGTTCTGAGTTTGTTTTCTTGATGGGAGAAGGGCATTCCAGCTCTAGGGAATTAACTGATCTGTTTTCCCCTCCTATGTATTTCCACCTCCAAATTGATATTTAGTAAATGACATTAAAACTAACATTGCTGTTGCTTCCCACCTCCCCCCACCTGTCTCCCCTCACACACCACAGTGTGAAATTTCCCACTGTCCATTTGCAAAATGACTGCAGCAAACAAGAAATAAGGTGCCTATTTTGCTCTAATATTTATGATAACTCTTTATCATCTAAGCCACCTATTATTTCTGGATCCAAATCTTTCCATTACAGATCACATATTGCCATTCTGAAGATAATCCTCCTATCAGAGCTTGTAGAATTTTTAAAACATAATTCCCAGAATCCCCCAGATAATGTAGCCAATAGTCATGGTGGGGAAATCTGGCAGTGAAATATTTTCCAGTTTGTTCACCCAAAGTATACTAAGGGAATCCAAAGAGGAAACGTTTAGTATCATTAGTGTCAAAATGATTAAGGAACTTCTTTTTAACAGGAACAGATCATTTATTAAAATCTGTTTTATTGTATCAGTTCCCAGGGATGTTTTCATTATTTTTCCAAATGGTTCTCACTAATGCAGATGTTTTCACACCTGTGAATATTGTTGTCAAGGGAAAAGATAGTGGAACTTATTTGTATTCAGTCCCAGTTCCATAGATTAAGCCTTTAAGAGTGACCTGAAATACATAACTCATGGCCTAATTTATTTATGTTAGTTATGTGACAGTTTCTTTGGGGACTTCACACCACTCCACCATGGCCTCATTTCTATTTTCCTGTAAGTAACCCAACATTAAGAACAGTGTGGTATAGTGATTTGAGAATTGCCATGACGGCATCCAAATACAGCCTTGGAGACCGCATGTAGTACTAAAGCTCTTTGGCTTACTGTACTTGTGTTACTCTTTCTTAGGTTGAGCTGCATCACAAGACTGATGCAAATGTAAAATGACTGGGGAAGAAGGCAAGAACACATAACACTTTGAAGTCCTAAAGAGAAGAATAGAATTTATGCACTACCATATTTCCCCAAAAATAAGACCTTGCCTTATATTTATTTTTCCTCAAGAAGACACACTATGGCTTATTTTCAGGGGGTGTCTTCTTCTTATTAAGTATGGTACAACAAATCTGTGTTTATTCAAATATAGTGCTAAGTAAAATGGCAGCCACAGCTTTACTTCTTTCCCCTGAGGACACACAATACCTAAAGCAGAGCGTCCTGCTCCTCACTTCACTGAGGAGACTTCCTGGGATACGGGCTGAAGGGAAGCAGCACCACCAACCACAGCCCCGTTGGAGCCAGTGACTCACTCCCTCTCTCACTCACTCAGGGAGGAAGCCTAGCCTATTCTGAAGGGAAGAAAGAAAAGAAGGAGGAGGAAAAAGAGGAGGAAAAAGAGGAGGAGGAGGCAGGAAGTGAGAGGGAGAGAGGCCCGGACTTGCCTTCACTGCCACTATGAAAAATTCTTGCATTTCACTTTCTAGGTCTCTCTCTCGATGCCCTAACTTGTATCACTATGTCTTATTTTCTGGGTATGGCTTATATTGCACAAGTGCTTAGAAATCCTGCTATGCCTTATTTTATGGGTACGTCTTATTTTCAGAGAAACACGGTATTTATTTATTTATGTCATAGGGCAGTCAAACCAGGGTAAGCAAACATAAGCTTCAGGTTTGTGACACCATCAAGGAAGTCATGTAGAATTGAAGATAAGGTTATTGCTTCCCTCGCCAAAATATTCTTAAGAAGATATGGCAATTACCAGGCACAGAGAAATACATATTAAAATCAGTGCAAGTGAAAAACATTAAAAGATTAATAATATGCTGAATCTAACTTGGTCATCTATTGTTTGCCAAAGGAAACAAATGAGAAGAAACTCTGAATTTTTTTCTTCCTTGTGCCACCACCTTTCAAGCCGAGCTGGCTGAATATGGCACTCTTAATCTGAAGGATCATGGATTCAAACCTCACACGGGACACACGTGTTTGTAACACTATACTACACTGAACATAAGCAATCTTGTCTAATTTCAGAAGTTAAGCAGCTCTGGCTTGGTTATACCTTGAATGGAAGATCATTCTACTAGTAGAAGCTTGGTAACTAAGTATCTCCAAGTAATACTATGGAAGAATCCAGTCTGGCCATAGAGAACCAACTGACAGTACTGGGCTAGAATCTAATGTTCTGACTTCATACACAACAGTCCCCTGTGTTCCCAAGTTCAATTCACTGAGATTTATTTTATTTATTTTATAAATAAAAGTCATTGAGGCACCATCAATAAATGAAAGAGAGTATAATCAAGCTCAAACCAGATACCCTAATGAAAGGAACAGAAATATAAATGTAATTCTTCCACATATATATATATATCAGTGCAAGTGAAAAACATTAAAAGATTAATAATATGCTGAATCTAACTTGGTCATCTATTGTTTGCCAAAGGAAACAAATGAGAAGAAACTCTGGATTTTTTTCTTCCTTGTGCCACCACCTTTCAAGCCGAGCTGGCTGAATATGGCACTCTTAATCTGAAGGATCATGGATTCAAACCTCACATGGGACACACTTGTTTGTAACACTATACTACACTGAACATAAGCAATCTTGTCTAATTTCAGAAGTTAAGCAGCTCTGGCTTGGTTATACCTTGAATGGAAGATCATTCTACTAGTAGAAGTCATATATATATATATGGCTTGATCCTTCTTAGATTGTGCCTACAGTGCCTTTGGTTATGCTGGTTGGGTAATTCTGGAACTTGAAGCCAAACCTTTAGTAAATCAAATTGTGGCTTAACAGCCTTAGTGGTTTTTTAAACATGGATAGATACTTTGCACTGACTCTCAGGCAAAAGGAAAAAGTGCTACATTCAGCAGGACTAAGCCTCACCTTACTTATGTTTACAGGCAGCACAATGTGGCCTTCCCCAGGACGAAGCTCCACGGTGAATGTTTGCTGTGTCTGCAGCTCAGGAATACTCACTGTCACGAGACCAGAAACAGGCTTTGAGCTGACGACATCAAAATCTGACTCTATTTCAAGACTCCACTGCTGAGTATTTTGCTCTGGACAAAAACACAAACAAGAAAAGCTTGCTGAAACTGGTGGGGCACAGCTTATTTTCCATATGTACTTTTATTGACCTGCAAACTAGAATGGAAAATATGACCATGCTACAGAATGGCAAGGCCCTGAGTTTGAAAGTCCTGAGTTATTATAAGTTGTAGCCAACTTGGTGGTATATTACAACTTGAAAAGCTAGAATGATCCCATGGAACAATCTGAGCATCAACCTCTGATTAGATCCAATGTCGATGGGCTCACTACAGGGAAGCAGCTGTTTCTTGAAGGTTAATTGTTTTTCCCTGCTTGACATGCTTCGTGAAAAAACTTAATTTATTTTTTGTTATTTTTATAATAGATGATTTATGATCCTTCACCTCTTCTTTGAAAGAAGGGTGAGATGTATATGGAGTAAATACATTTTAAAGCTACTACTATGGTTGCACGTCATTTTCTATATCATCACTGCAGTCTCTAGAGATCTTGCTGCTGTATCTGCAACAAATTTCCTATGCCAGCCATAGTTTGATGGCTGTTCCAAACTGCTGAAATTGTGTGTTTATGTACACAGTTGGCCCTCTGTATCCATGAATGCAGCATCCACAAATTCAACAATCTGTAGCTTGAAAAAAAGTAATTTTAATCCAAAGAGCACGCCTTGATTTTGCCATTTTATATAAGGAATATCTATTTACTACCCCATTGTATATAATGTAAGTGCCCCCTGTTGGCGCAGTGGGTTAAACCACTGAGCTGCTGAATTTGCTGACCAAAAGGTTGGTGGTTCAAATCCGGGGAGTGGGGTGAGCTCCTGCTGTTAGGTCCAGCTTCTGCCAGCCTAGCAGTTCAAAAACATGCAAATGTGAGATCAATAGGTACCGCTTCTGCAGGAAGATAATGGAACTCCATGCAGTCATGCTGGCCACATGACCTTGGAGGTGTATATGAACAACGCCAGCTCTTTGGCTTAGAAATGGAGATGAGCACCAGTCCCCAGAGTAGGACACGACCAAATTTAATGTCAGGGGAAACCTTTACCTTTACATTTACCTGTATATAATGTAACTTAAATATCCACAAGTTTTGGTATCCATGTGGGGACCTGGAACCAAACCCCTGCTGATACAGTGGGTGCACTGAATGCACATATAGAAGAAATGTGTCATTTTTACTTTTGTTTTCAAGGTTTGAAATTTTTTACCAGTGAGAACAAGGACTCTTTTACTATAATAACCAAGCAGCCAGTCTTCTGTCAATGAAGAGTGACTTGTAATGCTTTCTTTCCCCCTCTCTCTCTCTCTTTCCCTGTCTCTCTCTCTCTTTCAATATTCAATGTTTCATGTAAGAGGAACAGCTGGGTGTGGAAACTTAAGATAGGCCTCTTAAGGAGGCCGATTTCAGTTTTATGAAAACTGTGGAGTACAGCAGCTGCTGAGCAGAACCATCCAGTGTTTCTATCAAACCAAGGAAAAATACATATTCCAAGATATTAAAATAAGATGATTTAGTATATGCATTACAGATAAAAAATGTTGGCTAATGTTTCATATTTGGGGTCAGGGCTCTGGGGCAAAACTAGCCCTGCTAAGACAGAGTTTGGATAGCCATTTTCTCACTATACATATTACAGAAAATAATTTAGGACAGTAGCGCTTCAGAAAAACTAGAGAGGTGCAATTATTTTTTAAAGAATCTTCCCCAGCTGTTACATTTACTTTTATTCAATCCCTTAGAAGCACAGCTGGTTTTGGGGAAAGTGGAGGAGAAAGCTCATGATTGCTGGTCTGGACAGCCAGTTCTGCATATTGAACAATGCTGCATTCAAGAAAATGCGTGAAATTCTTATCCACTGTAGGCCTATGAAGTGAGTAGAATTAGACGAAGGAATGAATTGAACCCATTGTGTCTGGATTTGGTGAGGCCTAAGACTGTTTCTCTTTGGGCACTCGAGTGTGCTGGACTCATCAGCATGCTAATAACTGGCAAGGGAAGTCCCGTGTGATATCGCATACAATTCTCCAGCTCAAAAAATGACTCATTCCCAGAAAAGTGTTAGTTCAGCCTTCCTGCTATGCCTGAATAAACTACATATCTCTTGCCAAAACTTCATTTATCATCTCTGCAACAAACAATAGGGAAATCCTATGCATCAGTATATGCAGGGAGCTATACTACCTTTTTCCTTGCCAAATGGAAGAGTGCTGTTTTAAGACAGTGGACAGATGTTTGTGCACTTCTGTTTGTTCTACTCCCCCAGAGTAAATGTAACAGAGTAATAAAACCACCAACAATTTTTTGCTACACTTTGGCTTTGCCTTAAGTGGTAAACCCACAAATTACACATTGTTGTTTGGTACAGTATCTCCAAGTCATTTCTGATTTATAGTGACCCTAAGGCAACCCTACCAAGATTGTTCAACAGTGGTTTGCCATTCCCTTCCTTTGAGGCTGGGAGAGTGTGATTTTCAGAATATTTTTGAAATCCAAAATACTCTAAAACCACTTCATATTGGAGGCTGAGAAACTTCACCTTTTTGCTTTCTGATGGTTTTACTTACTTACACAAATTGTTCAAAAATTATTAAAAATGTATAAAATTACCTTCAGGCTATATTAAACACTTAAAAAATCAGCATTCTTGGGTCCCTTCTCTAAAATATTTCATTAGATATGCATCTGCAAATGCAGTTATTCTATAATCTACAAACATCCAAGGAACTTCTTGTCCCAAACATTTTAGGTAAGAGACAAGTAATTCTGATCTAGGTATCAATTCAAATAGTAAATGAGCTGCCCAAGATATTACATCGATTTTTTTTTGTTCTTTAAACAGGTTTGTTAAAATTGAGGTCACAATCTCGACTCAATGTCCCACTGACATGTAAGCATTCTTATCCCCAAGCCTGGATTCTGGTACCATCTCACTTTAGAAGGCTGTCTCTTAAAAAGTGAAATCATTATTTCACTTATCTCAGCAGTATCTACACTAAAAGAGCAGACAATTTCCAAACAGCTGCATTAAGCCTTTTCCCAACCCTGTCCACTATCCTGTCAGGGTTCTCATTACTTCCGTCAGGTTTCCTGTAGCTGCTACAATAGTCACAAAAATTCAAGAGCATCTGCCGCCTTTCTATGTGACACAAGAGGGTGCTAGGACGCCCTCTTGCATCACTGAGGTCCACAGACTTAGAGTGACTGGAAGAAAATTTTCTTTGAGGCACTACAGTGTTTCCTCACTTATTGTGGGTGTTATGTTCCAGGACCATGCGCGATAAATGAAAATTCGCGAAGTAGGGATGCTATATACAGTACAGCTGCTTCCGCCTTTGCGGCCCTCCCTACCTCACTCACTTACCCACCCATCCTCCTTGCCTTGCTGCTCACCGGGCCGAATCCTGGTTCTGCCACCAGGACCCGGCCTGGTGAGAAGTGAGGGAGGAAGGAAGAGTAGGTGAGCGAGGGAGGGCCACAAAGGTGGAAGCGGAAGCAGAAGCCTGGAAGAGGTGGCCATGCTGCATTTGCTGAAGTACATTTAATCTATGAGAGCAACACAGCCAACTTCCTCTCAGTCTCAAAGTTGCTACAGGATCCCTTTGCATAAGGCAGTGGTTCTCAACCTGGGATCCCCAGATGTTTTTGGCCTTCAACTCCCAGAAATCCTAACAGCTGGTAAACTGGCTGAGATTTCTGGGAGTTGTAGGCCAAAAACATCTGGGGACCCTAGGTTGAGAACCACTGGCATAAGGGATCACAAATACGTAATCTCTGCTTTAGAATTTATAAGTCATTCTCTTCACAAAAAGGAGCCAGCAGACAGCTGAAAGGAGAATTTTGCACTCCTAGCAGGGAGAGTGAACAATATATTTTGCATGGGTTTCTGCCTCGCTGCAGTGAAAAGATAATGTTCTTCTGACATTTGCTTTGGGGAAAATACTGCAGCTTTCCCCATGATACTCCCGGCAAAATGCCAAAGGAGATTGTGAAACATGTAATCCTAATAAATCTCAAGGGTGTCAGAAGGCTAATATATAGTTGTGCCATTGCTTTTTTTAAAAACACTAGTTTTTTTCCACATAACCATTTTTTTTTAGATATACTCTAGATGAATTTACTTACCATAGTGAGGAATCACAGAAAAATAGGTCAGATGGCAAAGATTATATGCTTCAATTCTAACATCTTTCCAAATTCCCTGAGTGGGGAAAGAAGGACCCCAGTCCCAGCTAAAAGAACACTGCTCCTGCAATTAATCAGAAACACACATAAGAAGTTTAAGTCACTTTGGTAATGGGTTAACTTGTTCTGGAAGTGTAGATCCAAGAGTGTTTTAGCATGCAAACTAATAGGATTTATCTAGACATCTATCCCACCACATCTCCAAAAATTAGCACAATAATAATAATAATAATAAAAAGTCTTAGATCTATAACAGAAAGAAATGTGTATGCCAACCTACAAAACCTGTAACACTCCCACACATGAGTTTTTATACTCAGGAAACCTACTCAATATTAACTTGTCATCTGCTGAGGAAAAGCACACCATCTGGTATGGAAACCCTGTGAGCTAAAAGGAGATTCTCAGACCTAAATCCACTTGCTACTCCTAATTTTTACTCAAAAAATAAACTGTTGAATACCAGCTCAACATTTATGCAAAGCCATCCAATTCAATGGGACTGCTCTAACGTAGGATCAGTAACTGTACTGCAGTCTGCCCAAACAAAACATTGAGTGGTGTTGTAGCAATATGATAAATGAATAAATGGGCCACTAGCTAAGACTACGGGGCCCCAATATTATTTATAATACAGAATAACAACAACAGAAAGACATATCAAGCTATTATTTTCCCCTTTGGAATGATTTGCAGACATTTCAGTTTACATGCAGATGTTATTGTTCCCCCTGACCCAATGAAAAATATCCTACAGGGTGAATTATACACACTGTTTGCAAACTGTCTCTTTGCGCAAATGTTACCAAACTGCAGAAATGTGGGGAATTCCCTTCACCAAGACATGCTACAGTTATTTCTCCTGTTGGAATCTGATAGCAGATGCAAATAGTCTACTTTTGGCCCTTTTTAAAGAAAAAAAAGTTTTTCTGCTTGAAATACAAGCATAACTTGTTTTAAATGGGGATTACATTTCCTTGTGTCTTGCAAGTACATTACTTCCCTAGACGACAAGTTTAACATGTCGCTTTAAGACATTTTCACTATCAAATTTCAGCTTTGTAGACCTCATTTTGTCTACATTGACCTACATGCTCCTTAAGAGACACATGTTTTTTACGCTGTACTCCCTATACAAAGTGTACTCAAGAGTAGGTTATTGATATTAGACTAAATTCTACCACAACTGGACCAGCACACCCGCAAAGCATATCATAAGAATGTGACATCAGAAATGCAGTCATAGCTTTCCAAATGTAGCATCTACATCAATCAAATGGATTTCAGATCTCTCTCTGACCAAGATCAAAGAGTTCTCATTTCAGATTTGGTCTTATTCATACATTAACATTTCTATTGAACTAAACACACTTGCAGCTATGAAATGCCACATAGCCAAGGTATACTGCACGTGGTAATATAGTCCAATGAGTTTCATATACAGATGGTTGCATGATTATCAAACATAAAGATTTACATACAATATTCACACCACTCGCTACACAGGAAGGATGTGAAATGTTCATCAGAATCAGAGACCATCATCCTAAAAATCTGTAGTGATTCTGCATGCCATCATGTAACATGCTTTTTTGTGGCTTCGTCCCATATTACTACAGTAACAACTGGAGATTAAAAGCACATCATACATCAAACAATATGAAGTAATGACCCATTCAGAAGAATAAACAAATATTCTCATTAACTTTTATATATTATTATATCAGTTTTCTTTCTGTATTTCATTTGTAGTCATTTCAAGAGATCTTATAGCAGAATAAAGACTTGAAAACATTTTATTAAAAGATATTCAGCAATCATGTTAATGAATATTATCTTCTGAAACAGCTGTACTAAAAACATTTATTTCTGTTTTATTGACTATTCTAAAGCCTTTGACTGTGTGGATCATAATAAATTGTGGTAAGTTCTTGGTGGTATGGGGATACCAAGTCACCTTGTCTGTCTCCTGAGGAAACTGTATAATGACCAAGTAGCAACAGTAAGAACAAGGAGCTCCCGGTGGCACAGTGGGTTAAACCCCTGTGCCGGCAGGGCTGAAGACCGACAGGTCACAGGTTCAAATCCGGGGAGAGGTGGATGAGCTCCCTATATCACTCCAGCTCCTCATGAGAGAGAAGCCTCCCACAAGGATGATAAAAACATCAAATCATCCGGACATCCCCTGGGCAACGTCCTTGCAGACGGCCAATTCTCTCACACCAGAAGCGACTTGCAGTTTCTCAAGTCACTCCTGACACAACAAAAAAAAAGGAAGAACAGACTATTTATTTTATTTATTTATTTCGGGTACTTTTACCCTGCCCTTCTCAACCCCCGAGCGGGGACTCAGGGCGGCTTACAAAAAGGCACAATTCAATGCCTACATAGAATACATATACATATAAAAACCGCAATCAAACAATTATCACCATTAAAACAGTCATTATATAACCCAATCAATAAACTACCGAATAACAGACTGGTTCAAGATTGGGAAAGGAGTACGGCAAGGCTGTGTCCTCTCACCTGAGCTATTCAACTTGTATGCAGAACACATCATGCAACATGCAGAGCTTAACAAATCCAAAGCTGGAGTTAAGAGTTGCTGGAAGAAACATTAACAACCTTAGATATGCAGATGATACCACTTTGGCTGAAAGCAAGGAGGAGCTGAGGGACCTTCTAACCAAGGTCAAAGAAGAAAGTGCAAAAGCTGGGTTGCAGTTAAACATTAAAAAAAACAAGACTGGTAATCAGACTGATTGATAACTGGCAAATAGAGGGAGAAAATGTGGAGGCAGTGACAGACTTTGTATTTCTAGGTGCAAAGATTACTGCAGACGCAGAGTGCAGACGGGAAATCAGAAGACTGTTTGCTTCTTGGGAGGAAAACAATGACCAATCTCAATAAAATAGTGAAGGGTAGAGACATCACACAGGCAACGAAGGTCCGCATAATTAAAGCAATGGTATTCCCCGTAGTAACCTATGGATGTAAGAGCTGGACCAAAAGGAAGGCTGAGCGAAGGAAGATAGATGTTTTTGAACTGCGGTGTGGGAGGAAAATTCTGAGAGTGCCTTGGACCGCAAGAAGATCAAACCAGTCCATCCTCCAAGAAATAATACCAGACTGCTCACTGGAGAGAAGGACAATTAAAACTTGTGCGCCAGCTGCGTCCGTACCTTGGGAGGGCTGACTTGGCCACGGTAGTACATGCTTTGGTTACATCCCGTTTAGATTACTGCAACGCTCTCTACGTGGGGTTGCCTCTGAAGACTGCCCGGAAGCTGCAGCAAGTCCAACGCGCGGCAGCCAGATTACTAACGGGGGCTGGGTACAGGGAGCACACCACTCCGCTGTTACGCCAGCTCCACTGGCTGCCAATTAGCTTCCGAGCACAATTCAAAGTGCTGGTGTTGACCTATAAAGCCCTAAACGACTCCGGCCCTGTTTACCTCTCCGAACGTATTCTCCCCTACGTACCATCAAGACTACTAAGATCGTCTGGAGAGGCCCTGCTCTCGGTCCCACCGGCCTCGCAAGCGCGCCTGGTGGGGACGAGGGACAGGGCCTTTTCGGTGGTGGCCCCGCGACTTTGGAACTCTCTCCCTCTGGAGGCCAGAACCGCCCCATCCATCCTAACATTTAGGAAACGGGTGAAGACGTGGCTGTGGAGTCAGGCCTTCGATGAATGAGACAACACCATAGGACCCTGGATGGAAGTTGATGTAGATCCATCTTAATAGGACGACTGACCACTGTAGTTTTATATATAGTGTTTTTAAAGTTGTTTTTGTAATTGTGATATATGATATTTTAATGAGTGTATATGTTTTTTATGGCTGGAAACCGGGCTGAGTCCCTCAATGAGGTTGAGAAGCTCGGTATAGAAAACTGTGAAATAAATAAATAAATAAATAAATATTAGAGGCAAATATGAAGTACTTTGGCCACATAATGAGGAGATAGGAAAGCTTGGAGAAGATAATGATGCTGGGTAAAGTGGAAGGAAAAAGGAAGAGGGGCCGACCAAGGGCAAGATGGGTGGATGGTAACCTTGAAGTGACGGGCTTGACCTTGAAGGAGCTGGGGGTGGTGACGGCCGTCAGGTAGCTCTGGCATGGGCTGGTCCATGAGGTCAAGAAGAATTGGAAGCAACTGAACAAATAAACAACAACAAAAAAACTAAAACAATGTCTTCCACTAAAAGGTGTGTTCTGAGAAGCACAAAGTACATTTCATGTCCTCATGTGTTTTAATAGATCCTATACTTCTTGCAGCTGTATTTGATTCTATATTAATAATTAGAACATGGCTTTTTTAAACTCCAGCTCCTAGTATCCCATGGCCTTAAGTGGATCATATGAGATCCCTATGAAATTCATGGGATCGCAGTGAGGTAAACAGGTGATTTGAAGTCACATTTTGGTTAGACCACATCTGGAATATTGTGTCCAATTCTGGGCACCACAATTCAAGAGAGATATTGACAAGCTGGAATGTGTCCAGAGGAGGGCGACTAAAATGATCAAGGGTCTGGAGAACAAGCCCTATGAGGAGCGGCTTAAGGAGCTGGGCATGTTTAGCCTGAGAAAGAGAAGGCTGAGAGGAGATATGATAGCCATGTATAAATATGTGAGAGGAAGCCACAGGGAGGAGGGAGCAAGCTTGTTTTCTGCTTCCTTGGAGACTAGGACGCGGCACAATGGCTTCAAACTACAAGAGAGGAGATTCCATCTGAACATTAGGAAGAACTTCCTGACTGTGAGAGCCGTTCAGCAGTGGAACTCTCTGCCCCGGAGTGTGGTGGAGGCTCTTTCTTTGGAAGCTTTTAAGCAGAGGCTGGATGGCCATCTGTCAGGGGTGATTTGAATGCAATATTCCTGCTTCTTGGCAGGGGGTTGGACTGGATGGCCCATGAGGTCTCTTCCAACTCTTTGATTCTATGATTCTATGATTCACAGACATGGGGAACTAATCGGATATTGCAAACAGGTGTTCTTAACGTCTCAGTGCCCATTGTGAAATAGCTTGTGCAGCTATGGGATCCAAGTGCCCATTATGAAATAGCTTGTGCAGCTATGGGATCCAAGGTAGCTACGCTAGCATAAATTTACAGTATGCTAAAAATGTATAGGATATTGGCCAATACATTTAACTGCCGTAGCAGTAGCTTGACTTTCACTGACCTTATGGAAATGATACGCAAACTATGTGAACAGCACATGACCAAACAATGTAAGTTAGCTTCAGTTCATACTAAGTTTTCCAGGAAAAAAAACAAGTTGTTGACCACTGCCTGGAAACATGTCTTGATTTGACCTCAGGACTCCACAGCCTGGAGCATGCATACAATAGAACTTGCTAAAGTTTTGCATAGTGACCTACCCGTCTAAATTTATAATCCTAATAAACGGCAGCTGAGCCAAACTAATTTCGGCAACACATGCTGCATTTGCCTAGCTTGTCCCCTGTAACCCAGAGAATCAGCTTGCTTGACAGTGTATCATGTTCAAGGAGGTTATAAAGCAGGCCATGTGCTTATTCCATGTGTGTTAACAGTAGAGGCAACCGTTTCTTAGAAAACAGCCTACAAAAACAAAAAGATCTTATTACTGATTCTGGCAACGAGACTGCCAAGTTTCAAATCTGTACAGGTAATTGTTACCTGTACACACAAGAGTAATTATCTCAGACTTGATTCAGATTTCAAGGCGTTAAAACAGAACAGCAGTGCTGGTATGTTCACCATGAGAAAATTAGGGATTAGAAGACACTAACTGCAGATTTTACAGTTTCAAAGCTAAAAATGTAGATTGGGTTTCCCAGTTTATAGAGGAAAATATTTCTATCACAAAAGTCTAGAAATTTGATTCTGAAATTCATGTGAAAAGGCAAGTGAATTCATTTCATTTTTCGTACTTGCAATCCTAGAAGTAGCCCTCATTGCCTTTTATATATACTCCCTACAAACCTAGGATTCTGATTTGTTTTTTCTTAGTAAATGATTTGTACACTTTCATGTGTGCACACACACAAATGGTGGATGCAAAGAGGAGAGTAGTGACAGAATAGGCACATTTCTGAAATTGCTATTGTGCAGATTAGTGGTTCCCAACCTTTTTTTGACCAGGGACCACTTGACCAGGGATCACTTTGGGCTAGGTTATCTGAGTCCACACGGCCATATATTCCAGTTCAAAGCAGAAAGTGTGGGATTTTATTCCGCTGTGTGGAAGGGGGCTAAGTTCTTAAGAAAGAGATCTTTCCAATCATCATCTACCTGATCATTTTGACTAGAAACTATACTTGGAACTCGCTACACACAAAACATATGCTCTGCAGTTTTCTTCCATGTGTATTGACCATAACTCCCTGAAAAAAGGCAGTGACAGACACAAGATAAGAGGGGAGTAAATTGAAAAAACTGCCACTTTAGGAAACATCCAAGTCAGTTTTCAAGCATGATCACACAATTCCTTTGAGGCTCAGAATTTCTTTTTGAAATCTATTTTCTGTGCGGAAAAAAAAGACTCAAAGACTCTCTTCAAAATGATATTTTCTATAAAACATGGTCCAAAAACATGTAAAAATCATTCTCCTGGCATCTTCTGCTCTAAAAATAGTACTACAGCTGTTCAAGTTTTTTTTTTTTACCCCTGCACTGTTTCTGATCAACAGAAGAGAATAACATACGAATTCAAGAGCCAAAGGATGACCTTACCATATTTTAATTAATTGGTGTAACAAATATAGCTCCTTTTTCACAACTTATTTAAGTTTGTATCTAATTCAGTGGCACTAGTTACATTGTAAAGGAAGATTAACATAATAAAAGGTATTGTCTATTATATTTAAAATATTTTTTTATTTATTTCCTGCATTTGTAACCCACCCTTCTCACCCCCGAGGGGAGGACTCAGGACATCCTCACAGCAAGCACCATCCGGTGCTGTTACAATTATAAACATTCAACAATACAATTAAAAGCATTAAACAGTTAATTAAAACAGTTAATTAACAATAAATTAAAAACAGTCAATTAAACAATCAATTAAAACATGCCAATTAAATACCATTTTCTCTTCTACTGTCCTATAGTGGTCATTATAGACAAGAGTTATGGGATCATTAAGAGAAAATATACTGAGCCAATGAGAACATTTCAGTGTTAACAGTTTAAACAACATAACATTTACAAAAGCATTCATGCCTTCTTCTTATGAGCATTAAATCCTGAAAGGATTTTTTAGGGAGTGAGTACCATTTAACAACATGGATTTACATGCAGGTAAGCAGAGATCCAGAACACTGTATGAGTTAAATGTTAGATTGAGAATTCAGAGGTACCATGTCTTTGGTCAGCCATTAAACCCACTGAGCCCATCACTCACTCCATCACAACATTGTTAAGAAGGTGGTATGAGGGCCAAGCAAGGTGTATATGCTTCCTTGAGATAATTGAGATAATTGATATATATATATATATATATATATATATATATATATATATATCTCACATCTCTGTGTTTTGATTTTGTTGTTGTATGCAAATAAAGGCTATGACCTGTATTGCATTGTAACATCTAATTCAGCAATTAGAATCTGGACCCAATTTCGTTCAAACACAATTACATTCTTACCCAGTCCTGAAAACAAATCCAAATTTGGAAACCTGGATCAGCAGTCTTCCTTCACTTAATTGCATTGGGAGACAAAACATTGGCTATAACTTTAGTTTTAAAAATTACACAAGTGTGCATGTGCCTTTGTGTCACAAACTAATACCAGGTGCCGAGACAATATTTCACAGGACAAACCACCTCTGAGTATCCCATGCCTAAGAAAACCCTATGAAATTCATGGAATCACCAATGCAACAAAGAAACAGGAATGCTCTGTTTCTCATGTTCTTAGAAATGAAATACTACTGCAATTTCCACCGCCAAGACACTATATTTGGAAGGCCATCACACTCGGTAAATGAGGGATCGCCTAAGTAAGTAAGTAAGTAAGCAATTTCTATCACATTCCCAGCCATAATGGCTGTAGTGAGTGAATGCTTTGAATTATCTTGTTTCCCCCAGTGGTGCAAATACATTCACCTGCTGAGCTATACAGCAGAAAAGTGAGACATAACTTTTGATTAACTAATGCTTCCCAGAAACAGTCAGAGCTGCATAGATCAGCACAGAAGGAACAGCAAACACAGACAAAGCAGCTTGGCCAGGATGCTTACAACTCTGCCAACATATCCTGGCACTTCTGAAAGCTAATTCTCATCTCTCTTCTTTATTAAACATCCAAGATGGATAATGCACAATCTACTTCTCCTGTGAAACCAGCATGAGCTGCCCATAATTCTTGCTATGTGATTCTATTCATTTTTATGGGGTTTGCTGGGACAGTATTTCAGTTGGTTGTACTCACTGCTTATAGCAACTTTCTTGTTCTCCTGCTGTCAGTCTCATCAAGTACCAGTTCTGCTTGAACAATTTCCTTTCTCACATTGCTAATGCTGAGTTTTTCAATATTTCTCAATACAGTGCAACCTTATATTTGTGGGGATAAATTCCTGAATGGAAACAGGAAGCTATGGATAATCGCAAACCCTATTGAAATAAACAAGATTCACCAGAATTTATCATATAGTTACCCTGGAAGACCAAGAAAATTCCTAAAAAGATACGTCACCTATAGAATTCTCTATGTCCTCGCAGGTGAGCCTATTTATTTATTTATTTATTTATTTATTTATTTATTTATTTAGAGCTTTTATAACCAGGTCTTCTTGACCTCCGAAGAGGGACTCAGGCCGGCTAACAGCAGGAAATTCATACACAAGTAGGATAAACATAATAGCATCGTAATACATTAATACATAAAATACATTAAAATACAGATCATACAATTACAAAAAGCCAGTGACCTATGGTAATTTCCAGTGAAAGAATGCCATAGAATTGCCTGAAAGACCAAGAAAATCCCAAGAGAAGACATATTTTGTCAAATTTAGGTAAGTTAAACCATGGGTATTGATCCTGCATGTACAGACATCATACTGTAAAGTCTATCATATATTGTAATAACCCTGAGTAGAGAACAAGCATTGTTGCTGTTGTTGTCTCATCTTTTCCCCAATTCAGGACTAAAGGCAGGTTACAATAATTAAAACGAGTGTTTGAAATGTATATAATTCAAAAAATAAGTAATTGCTGGTAAATTATCATAACAAATGAAAATCAGATAAAATGAAAAGCATTAAAAACAACAAATAAAAATCTATCTCATTTTACATTTCCTATTAAAATATTTTAATCTATTTTAGATACAGTCATTTATATTTAAAAGCTCATAATACACACACATACAAACACATACACTTTTCAAAAAAGAAATATAATCCAAAGGGCAAATGCTAAGAATTTAAGGATTAATTTGATTTAATCAGAACTGTTTTTCAATTTAAGAGATTTTCTGCACACACGCACAATGCTATTACCTTTCTGATGAAATTAACGTGACACTGCCCTTTCTGTACAGGTGGAGGGCATTCAGGAGGTACCTGGTATGCTTTGTGAGTTTTACTCTGCTGTGCAGCATACCAAACAGCGGACAAAAACTGAACTTGAACTGCATTAATCTCCTTGATGACATCAGTAATATCAAACCTCTGTTAGAGATAAAGAAAAATGCATTACAGATATATTAATCACTTCCGTGCAGCATGCATTGATTCAGTTGTCTATGTTCAATTATTACTTTATTCACTTATAGAAATAGCTCACTTGTATGAATGATGTAAAAAATATATTAACTGATATGTGCTCCTACGGTTATAGCTTCAACTCTCTGAACATCCTAAATCAGGGGAATCAAACTTCCAAGCATCCAATCTAATCCACTCTGCTCTGGATCTCCATCTGGACACTGGAAAGTGTAAGGAAGCCCTTTAATCCTTCCTTCTGCTCTTTCATCCCTTATGAGCCATGTGAGGAGATTCTCCTTATGCCACCTGCTTTTCCAATTAGGAGGGTGAGTAATATGTTGGGGAATCTCATTGTTTTCTTTTACCATTGATATTGAAACAAACCCAAGTCATCAGGCCTGGAAAGAGCTCAGAATCCCCTCCTCTTACCCTTGTGAGATTGCCCACTGTCATAGATGTTACTTCAGAGATTAAGTATGATAAACCTGCAGTATAAACTATAGATTTTAATATGTATTGGTGTTATATGCTATTTTAACTGATGTTCTGTGCTGTGTTATTCTTGTTTTTTGCCTCAATCCAGAGGGAAAGGCATGTTAGCAATAATGATAGTTATGACACTTTTATCACAGATATTAACTTTATTCAGTAGCAGAAGTCTCTCGGAAAAGGATACTTGCCCTTTGTGAGCAAGCATTGTTGATTCTTGATCAACTATTCAATATACACACCAAACAGGCTACTGCCTTCTTAACTCATTTCTACACTAATAATTAAACTTTCATCCATAGGGGAGATATTCTGGGTCCTGGACCCATACTTGACCCACATGAAGTCCTAATATAGTCCTTCTGTAGTTCCCTACATGGACATGCCCATCCCCATGCAAAAAGTCCAAACCTAGAGTTGAAAACAACTCTGTGTTAAAACCACACTAACTACATCCACCAAGGCACAGAAACTTCTTTAATTAGAAAACTCACATATTGGTTGAACATGTTGTCCGTCTTCCCAACAGTGACATTATTGACCAAAACCTCTGCTATAGTATCCAGTCCCTCAAAGACCAAACTCACTTTTTGCCACATGCTACAGAAAAAGAACAGAAGGGGGTATTATCATGAGTTTCATAATGCATCGATATCCTAGTGCAGATGGAAAGCTGCTAAAACAAAAAGCCAGCACCAGGAACATCAATTTCATTTTCTGGCATGTATCCCTCTGATATGGATTTCCTTTTCCTTTCCTGGCCTGCTTTAATCCTGTTTTAGTATTCCTTCTACACACTGACACAACTGCAGTTAAGATAATAAAGATCTAAAATGGGTTTTCAATTTCTGGTTAGGATTTGAGTTCTGCTTACATCAAGCATAGTAAACTTGCAGAATAAATGCTAATATCATAGTAAATTCAAGAGAAGAGGAAATTGATATTAATTTTATTTCTTTCCTGTCTTTTTCCATGAATTAAAGAAAAAGAAGAGAACAGAGCTTTTATATTGAAAATCATAGACCCAACTACTCATGAATCATTAATCCATATCCAAAATGATCTGAAAATGAACCATTTCTAGTCTTCTCCAAAAATACGGAACTAGGCTAAGGGCAGGGGGTTTATCTGCTTTTCAGAAAAGGGCAGCCAAATGGTTTAGAGACTAAAGCATTCCCCTCTGGAAATGGGGATGCTTAGCCCTGAAAAGAACTCATGTTCATTCATTGAAGCTAATGTTAACAGATCTGGGACAGATAAAAGTACAGTTTCACACAGAGCACTGTTAATACTGTGGAATCCATTGCCATAAAATACAGTGATGGCATCCAGGTTGGACAAAGTTAAAGGAAATTGGATGAATTCACACAGATACCAATGACTGCCAATTAAGACAACTCTATGCTATCTTCAGTATCAGTGATATCACATCTCTATTATCAGTTTTTTGAATATGAGACACAGAAGAGTCCCTAATAATGATCTTTCCATAGTCATCTGAATAAGATGTGTCTTTACTCTCGTATAGAATGGCCTTTCTTAGATTCTTACAACCCATGCAATTCGCCAGTCAGCATGGTCTTCTAGGGGACATACTACCTAGGGTGTTTTGGGGTGCTTTTTCAAATTCCAATACATCATACAACACAAAGTAATGACTCATCCAGAAGAATAAAAAAAAAGCTGATTAGCTTTTCAGATAGGTTTTATATATTCTTATATGTTTTATTTATGTATTTCATTTGCGATTACTTCAAGAGATCTTTTTATAACAGAATCAAGGCTTGAAAACATTTTATTAAGAGCTATTCAGCAATCATAAGTTACTGAATATTTATTTTCTTAAACAGCCGTACTAGAAGAATGACTTCCACAAAATGTTGTGTTATGAGAAGCACAAAGTACATTTCATTTACTTGTGTGTTTCCATGTATCCCACATTTCTTGCAGCTGGATTTGATACTATATTAACAATCAGAGCATGGTTTTTTTGAACTCCAGTTCCTAGTATCCCACAATAAAAGTTCCAATCACAACAGAAATTCATGGTACATACTACACCTACATATTTTGTTAGGGATCAATTCCACGAACCTTTGTGTAATATAATATACATGTATAATCACAAACTCTATTTTTCATCCCAAAAATGACTGATGTTTTGGGCTTCCACATAATTGAACAGAAGTACCCAGTGATGCCTACAGAAATGTTTGCTTTAGGACTCGTACGGTCAATTTCCAGAGGAACAACTAGCAGATGATGACCACAGAATCATCCTAGAAGCTTAGAGCGAACTATTTTAGGAGCTCTATCCTTTCCAAAAATTGATTCTGCACTTTGGACAGCCCTTTGGATTAAAACCCAAAGTGGATTTACTGCCCCACTGGCAAAAGAACAACCGTCTGCCATTGTCAGAAGGAGAATTACTAGAAGAGGAATGGAGCATGTTCACCTGAAAGGTGCTCCTGATAGCTACTGTTATTATCTCGGCTCTGGATCACAGGCAATCTATCAAGTTCACCGAGAGCTGCTGCAACAGCATATTCCAACAGACATCAACTCCAAGGTGAGCCTTATTCAGCCCAGTAGTATTTATTTCTATAAGTACCTCTGGGATTTCAGCCTAAATCTTAGTATGCATATGTTATGCTCATACCTGATGTCAAAAGGACTTTTGAACATTATGCTGTATGTCCAGTTATCCAGAGCAATCCATGTGTAGGCCAAGTCATTAAATCTGTAATAAGGATCCTATTAATTAACAACAGAAAAGATTAAAAAACACTGCTTATTAAAAAGCAACAATGCAAATTAACTACAAATACTGATATATGAATTCAAAAAACTGAAATAATCACCCAGAGGGGAATACAGGATGGAACAAATCCTGCAACCTGTAACAAGGATGATTGCATTAACTTTCTACTGTCGCTTCAATTAGTAAATGGAAGAAATGCCTTTACAGCTAATAAAACCTTCAATGACAATCATGTTATTGTTGGCATTCATGTTTATCCTATGTTTCATTCCATGTTTATCCTATGTTTCAAGTCTTCAATCCCATAGCAGTCCTATTCTCAATGGAAAAGGGGTAATTGCATCAGAAATTGATCAAAATGCTCAGGGTGAACTCTGTAGAAACTACTAGAGGGAAACCAAGGCTAATGGGGTAAAGGAAAATGTGGGCAACTTTCCATTTTGTGGCCTACTCTAAGCTTAAATTACCTTATGCCAGATAAAATTATCTCATACCAACATACTCCCACATGGTATCTTCCAGTTCTAACGGACTAAAATCCCCCCTGATCATTCTCAGTCTCCATGAGGAAAGGCCAGTATACCATGAGGTAACCTGGCTTTAAAGAGTCAAGAACTCAATAGGCAATGTTTTAATTGTATTTTAATCTTTACATTTGATGACACAAAGATTTAATTGTTTTTAATTATATTAATATTTAGATATTTTGTTTTTAATTTGGATTGTATTGTGTCATGTTTCTCAACTGTTTTGAGTTTCTATGTTTGGAGAAAGGTGGTGATGCCGGAAATTTGCAGTTTTTCTAAGTCCCATGGATTCCAAGGGATGCCTGGCAAGCTTTGCTAACCACTGATGTCACGAATCAGGAATCCGGAACCAAGAGTCACACCAGGTTGAAAGCAAACAACAGAGACTTTTATTCAATTTGTGCAAAAGGGACACTCCTACAGCATGGATGCTCAAAAGGTACAAGTGTGAAAGCATAATCATAAGCAGACATTTTTACACACAAGAATTCTTATGCTTTAACATTCCTGCATTTTGAAACTCTCCCTTTCCCTTGATTGGCCAGTGCTGAGAGGCCGGCCAACGTCCCCCAGGCTTCTGATTGGGCAGGAGGTGGGTCTTAGTAGGTGCGCGCCATGATTGGAGGAGACAGCAATGACGTAGGGATCTCCTCCAAGCTAGACAGGGAGGCCTCAGGGCTTCCAATGGGCTGGCAGAGGTAATGGTGGGGGCAGTGAGATCCCTAGGGGTCAAGCCAACCCCTAGGTGTGTAGCAATAGAATGCTGGAGACAAAGAAAAGTCCAAAAGATGATTTGACTGGATTATGCAGATACCGGGTCCTGCTGGAGAAGACAATGGGGGTTGCTGTCCCATGCTGGGAAGACAAAGAAAGACTCCCAAAGATGTATATCATGATGGGATTGTAATCAAAGTTTCATCCTGGACTCTTGTTCTGCGGATAGCTGAGATGCCCGAAGAGGAACTGCTGGGCAGTGGGTAGATGGGCTCCCGCTGAGATCCACGAAGGTCCTTGTCCCTTAGATTATGTCCCATCTTTGGTTCTCACACAGGGCATGGAATAGGTATCTGGAATTGCTCAAGAGAGGTTACTGGAGTTCATAGGTTCATGTAAATTTGCCTTCATTTCATAGAGTTAAATCATAATTAAAACAATATTAAAATTATAAAAGACGGTTCATGTGATGTTTGGTATAGGCTTACAGAGAGAGAAGATGAGGTGAAGAGAGAGTGAGTTTCCCCACTGCTGAACACAAGATGGAAAAGGTCATTTGTCTTATTTGTTTATATTTTATTCCCTCCACTCATGCGCACATCTGCATGTCCACATAAGAAAAAAGAAAAAAAAAAGAATAAATGAAAGAGATATATATATAGTAGCAAGGATTTGGAAATGAAGGTGCTTTGGATACATTTAGTCATTTGGCTTGCATCTTGGCTGTGGAGAAGGGAGAGGGTAAGTAAGATGGGCAATTTCCATTGAAGCCTTGGAGATTCGCTGATGCAGACTGACTCAAGCTGAACAGCTGAGCCAGGGGTGTGTGTCTATGTGTGGGCGCTTGAGGACTATAGAGTGTGGGCAGCCATTTCCAGTTCATCTGGCCTTCTGTCCTTGACAAACACCAATTCCCATGAAGGTCAAACTATGTCTTCTTTCTATTAGAGGTGGGGTTGGGGGTCCTCGATAACAGCAGGATAAAAATAAATAAATAATTAAAATAAAGCCCCTCAGTCTCCAAAGCCTCACACTTGAGTGTTATTAACTTCAACATGAGTGTGCCTAGAAGGTGGATGTATTCTTTCCTTACATCTATGCAAGGGCCCCAACTCTTTCATGACATGCCTGAACATGTTGCTCTTCTTCCCCTTCTTATGACACATTTACCTTCTTTCAAGTGGCCTGAGAAAGGCAAAGTCCAAAACTGAGAAATGTTTTTGGTCCCACAATATCAGCCACCATGTAGGCTGGCCGATTCTGAGATCTGTTCTTTTGTTTTCCAAGCTGTAATCTATCATCATGATGCCTCTGTCCAATATGAACAGCTACAGAAGGTTTGGCAGAGTGTTCCCATTATGCATTTCTGCTGCCAGCTCCTTTGACATAAAAGAAAATGGAAGCCAGCACAACAGCTCAGGCCCAAAGGCTCACACTGGGACAAAAAGGAATTTGCAGATCCCTCTTCTTGTGCTTCAGGTTGGCTGCCAATTCTACAGATAGCATCCTTCCAGATATGGGTTATTTCTTCACATTAGAAACATGGCCCCAAAGCAGCTGCTCTATTTTTAGAAATGGGCTTTATCAGGCTTGTCAAGTCATGCCTGTGAAGTGGTAAAGCATGTTTGTGGAATGCCTGCTATAGTTATGTCTCTCCTCCCGCCCGCAACACTATCAACACTATTCTCTGAGATGCTCCTTAAAGAGGATTCAAGAAAGGAAGTATATTAAGTAAGACTTAATTCTCTTATCAACGCTTAAAACACAAGACATTAATAAGGCAATCCCTGGGGAACCCACACTTGGTTGACTCTGCATTTTTATCCTCATTAAATCAGCACTTGCAATGGGGAGGGGGGGGGGGCTTTTCTATGGCAAGCCTGGTACAATATTTCCATGAGATTTTTGCGAAGGTAACCAACCACTCATTTGAATGAGTTGGTTAAGGGGCAGGAGAGAAAAAGGAAAAAGCACTAGTCAACCTATATCTTTGTGAGAGTGTGCTGTATATTTTAGTGAGCCAGTGCTAAATATAAACTCTGACAGGAATATTTAGCACTACCGTAGGAAATAAGGATACATGGACTATTCTCTGCAGCCTGGGTATGTTCTCCGAGATATTTTCAGAACTGAAGTGCAGGTCGCACAGCAGGTTAATATTTAATTGTATTTTAGAGTCATTTCATTCCACCCTCTTTGTCTAGACTGTAAATGTAAGGATTTGTGCACATCAGTCTTGATTCCTGAAGGTTAAAAACATAAAGCTTTTAGACTGTTAATTCCCTAACCATCAGAGACTCACTAGCATGCCATGAGAAATGCATTCATTCAATATCTACTTTTAGAAAAATTGTTGTACTGCAGGCTATAATACTGCTGAAGGGGAAGACAGCTATGAGGACTCCAGGGATTTTCTGGTTATGCCTCACTTGAAACAGCTTCCATAAAAGCATAAAAATTCCCATTTCCTTTCTGCCACCAGATTCCTCCTTCTAATCCCTAGCATATATCTGATAAAATTCTGCTTTGGGAGGGGAACAGGTTAATTTCAATACGCATTCCTCTTAACACCTCTTTTGACCCTGAATCAAGCTGATAAAAAATTAATGGCTATTACCCATGAATGCTATAGAATATTTTTGCCTTGGAGCCGCATTGTGGGCCTAACCGAGAGAGCTGGGCCAGGAGGGAGTAGGGCAAGACCCGGATAATCCTGGTTGTCCTCCTGGCCTAAGGATGGGGCTGCTCGCTTCATCCTTACGCTGGGAGGTAAATGAGACATGCAATTGCCCCAATCCTCCTCCCCCGATCTTTGGACTGTCCTCTCAGCATTATGTTGGGAGGAGGGCAAGACAGAAGACAGCTGAGAGTGCTTCGGAGGGCTCTGAGCCACTTCCTTCCTCGGGCTGTCCTCTCAGTATAAGAAAGGGGCCACTCGCACAGTCCTTTTGCCGGGAGAAGGGCGAGACATGCTGTGGGTGAGAGCGCTCCAGAGTGCCTTCCTCTCCTTTCCTTTCTGCAGAAGAATGTGGCACGCCACCATGTCCTTATGCTGAGAGGACAGGGAAAATGAGGAGGGCCTGAGGTAAGCGCCCGGGGACAGCATCCAGCCCCCGGGCTTTAATTTGCACACGCCTGCGCTAGCACCTGAGACAACACTTCCCTGAAAGCAAACTACTGGACAAAATAGCAAGAAAGAATTATACCTCCACTCACGCATCCTTTTGTGACCTTTCCTTTGACATCTAGTTACCAGTTAACATAATGGACCCAGGGCTCATGGAATAAAATATCAGGAAATTCTTATTATAAAGGACAATGCCATCACTTGCCTCTGCGCCCAACATTCCTGTTTCTAATGAACTAGGCTGAAATTCCCACTGTGGTTTAAGTGTGTGAATTTTCCCAGTAACAATCTCCTGCTGCATGCTATTATTGCGGTACAGTAACAATCTGGAAATGGTTTGGTTTGAAATGAACAATTAAGATCCTTTAGCTTTTCCAAAACCCTACTGTTAATCCTGCTGAAAGCAGCTAGAATTAAAAACTCGATTTAGTGATAGGTTGCTATTTTTGGGAGATGGGATACTGATCTAGACATGGTCTGATCCAGAATGACTCGTTTTACATTCTTTCTGTGAGATGATACCTGTAGACCAGCTCACACCAGAGTAAATTTGTTCATTTGTATGGGTATTACCTTTATTCCAGACTAAAAGCCAAGACATAAAGATACATTATTTTTCTGATTA